GCGGGGGGGGCTCCTCACGGCTCTTGCTCGGTCCTGGCTGGTGCCAGCAGGGACGCTTAAACAGGGTCTGAAACAGGAGCCCAGTCACCTTCCTTCTGGGAGCAGAGACGTCTAGAGGGGGTCCTGGCCTCTCAGAAGTGGACGAGCCTGGCTGCTGTCGCCCCCCCCCCCCCCCCCCCCCGTGTTGGTTGGAGGGAGCGGGAAGGAGGGCTCGCGGTCCTGCCAGTTGGTGTTGGAGGCGAGGAGCACGTGGCCCAAGGAGGGAAGGCAGCCGAGCAGCCCGGCGCCCTGTGGCCCCACAAGCAGAGGGTGGGGCGCCCCAGAGGCCGGCTCTCGAGTGGGAGCAGGTGACCCCAAAGCTCTCGCCCCAGCAGCTGGATGGGCTCGTGGAACGGCCAGCGGGACAGGCGCCCGGGCAGGCGGCGGGCACAGTGGTGCTGCGGGCGGTGCGGCGCTTAGCTGATGTCTGGTGATGCTCGGCCCTGCCTCAGGCGCCCACGCCCAGTGGCCGGGGGAAGCCTGGCGGACGGTCCGGGCTCGGCTGTGGGGCTGTCACGTGCGCTTAGTCACAGGGACACGTTCTGGGAAAAGCCCGAGGCGGTGCCACGGGGCGGACATCACAAGTCCAGTCAGTTCAGCCTCCGGCTCCTGGCCCCACGCCTGTTGCACACGCTCCGCACAGAACAACACGAGACGGAGCCAGCACAGAAGGTGATGCAATCAGGTGTCAGCACGGACGTGTGGGGCTGCTGCTGGCGTAACCTGGGTGCTGTCTGAGGTTTTATTTACTGGTTTTAGAGAGAAACGTGGATTTGTTGTTCCACTTACTGATGCATCATTGGTTGATTCTTGTCTGTGCCCTGACCAGGGCTCGAACCCACAACCTTGGTAGATGTGGATGACGCTCTAACCCACTGAGCTACCCGGCCAGGGCCGGCATCCTGTGTGAGACAGAGCGAGCTTCTCGTGATAAGTAGAGAGTATAGTACACACAAGGCAGCAGCAGCCCCTTACGATCGAGTACGACAAACTGCCATATTGTGTGTGCTCGTCCGTTGACACCAGCATCACCACAAGCGTGAAGCAGGCCTTGGCTACCAGGTCATGGCGGCTGTGAGGTCACTGGGTGATGGGGATTCTTTAGCTCCATTAGGACCTTACGGTGCCATGGGGTCATGGACCGAGACGTCCTTCAGGGCGTGACTGTTAACAGAGCTGAAGCCAGTGAAGCAGCAGCAGGTCCGGGGGGGGGGGGGCTCCCACTGGTGGCCGTTGCAGAACATCCAGTTAACTGCTGAGCAGCTCGAGGCAGTGCTCTGGATGGGACCCGGGAAAAGGGTCAGAAAGAAAAAGAGTAACTCCCTGCAGGTGACCAGCTTGTGGGTATTTTACACATTTTTATCTGTCCTTTATTTCCTAAATTTATTTTTTTATCATTGTGAAAAGCTACAGCTGTTACTTCTAAGAAGCGCACCTTCTCAGGTCACTGGGTGGGTTCAGAGAGCCACGCGGCCTGTCAGCCTCGTGGGAGAGGGGGGAGGGGCTGGGGGCGCTGTCTCCAGCCAGGGCCCCAAGTGTGCACACCCAGGTCAGTGTCTGTCCCTCTGAAGCTGCTGTCCACCTGTGTGCCGGGTGGGACATGCTGCCAGGGTGCGAGGAAGAAGCTGGGCGGGGCCTGCTGGTGGCACTGGGCCTGGGCTCCAGTGTGAGGGGGCAGAGCAGCATCTCCCAGGAGACCGCACGGGGCAGGGTGCGTGTGGTGGCCGCGCTGTTCCTGGCCTGCGCTCCTCCCCAGGGGCCAGCCCTCCGCAATCTGACTTCTCTGGTGCCTTCCAGACGATGCTTTCATCAACCCCCACCTGGCCAAGATCTTCGAGCGGGTGCGGCAGAGCGCGGACTTCATGCCCCTGAAACAGATGACGGTGAGGCGGGCGGGGCCGGGGCATGGGCTGCTCCAGGCCGCCCTCTCCTTGCAGAGGAGCTGCGGGGCCTCCTGGGAGGGGCTGGGCTGGGCTGACAGTCCCTCCCTGGCCTCTCCCTCCAGAAAACTCTCAACAATGACCTGGGCCCCAACTGGAGGGACAAGCTGGAGTACTTCGAGGAGCGGCCCTTCGCAGCCGCCTCCATCGGGCAGGTGCACTTGGCCCGCATGAAGGACGGGCGTGAGGTGGCCATGAAGATCCAGGTAGGCGCTGGGGTGCACTCGTCCACAGGGGCTGCGAGGGGAGCCGGGCCTGGTGCGGGCCCTGCAGGGCGGGTCTGTGTCGTCGTCGTCTCTGGCCCCGGCGCCTGGTCAGCACTGGGTGCTGGGACGGGTTCGCCCAGTGAGTGGCTGTGGGGGTGGAACAGCCCCCAGGAGCTTGGCTTGGGCGAGGACGGGACCGTGATTGTCTGCTTTGGGCCTGAGCTGGAGGCTGGGCCCTGAGCGGCGGCTGTTCCTAGAGACGGGGTGGGAGGGAGGGGTAGACAGCTGTGACTCACCCAAGGAGTGGGGTCCCGCTCTGCTCATGGGACACCCCCTGCTCCCCCTGCAGTACCCTGGCGTGGCCCAAAGCATCAACAGTGACGTCAACAACCTCATGACCGTGCTGAACATGAGCAATGTGCTTCCGGAAGGTCTGTGCTCGCTGCTGGCCTCTGGCAGGCATTTGGGATGGGCTCTGGGTACCCGCGGGGGCCTCCCTAGGGAGCCCTCAGCTCACCCGGACACCCTCCTACCTTGTCCAGGCCTGTTCCCCGAGCACCTGATCGACGTGCTGAGGCGGGAGCTGGCCCTTGAGTGTGACTACAAGCGGGAGGCCGCCTGTGCCAAGAAGTTCAGGTGCAGCTCTTGGTGGGGCCGCTGGGCTGTGAGCCTATGGCCTGTTGCTTTCCCCAGCAGGGGACAGAGGGGCCGTCTTCAGGCAGCCCAGGGGGGGAAAGGGGTCCTGAGGGGTGGGTGCCTGTGGCCCGGGTCCTGCCCATTGAGAAGTGGGTCCCACCTGGCCAGTCCCTGTTGTCCTGCCTGCCTCCCCCAGGGAGGGTGTGGGGGGAACTGGCCCGTGTGACTCCCGCCCGCAGGGAGCTGCTGAAGGACCACCCCTTCTTCTACGTGCCCGAGGTCGTGGACGAGCTCTGCAGCCCCCACGTGCTGACCACAGAGCTCGTGTCTGGCTTCCCCCTCGACCAGGCGGAGGGGCTGAGCCAGGAGATCCGGAACGAGGTGTGTCTGCAGCCGGCCTTAGCCTCCAGGTGACCCCTGTGTGGCTCACGGGGACGGGGCTGCGTGTCCTCCCCTTGCCCCCAGGTAGTTCCCTTGGAACTAAGTGTCATCTGGGCAGAAGGTGGGGCTGGGAGTCGGGCTTCCCCAGCCCTAGACTCTCAGGTCACCGGGCTCTCCCCGCCCCCAGATCTGCCACCACATCCTGGTCCTGTGCCTAAGGGAGCTGTTTGAGTTCCACTTCATGCAGACAGACCCCAACTGGTCCAACTTCTTTTATGATCCTGAGCAGCACAAGGTGAGCCCTGCGTGGGGGCAGGGCAGGGGCCGGAGGTGTCCGCTGGAGCGGGGCTCCGAGGTCGGGGGTCTCAGCCCCAGTTGCAAACCTGCCCCTGCTCTCGCCCTTTCCCAGGTGGCTCTCCTGGACTTCGGGGCAACTCGGGAATTTGACAGATCCTTCACTGACCTCTACATCCAGGTAGGGAGGGTGGGGCAGGACCTGGCTGTGCGGTCCTGAGGCAGGGCTGGGGGTGGGGACTGGGAGGGAGGGAGGGAGGCTGACGGCTCCTGTCCTGTGCTCAGTCTGGGGAGGTCATGGCCCCGTCAGGCTCCCGGCCCCGCTGGGACCTCGGGCCAGGGTCCGGGAGGAACAGCGAGCCGGTTGGCCGTGCGGGGGGCGGGCAGGGCCGCTCTGGCCCCAGCAGCTCCTCTGTGTGCCCAGATCATCAGGGCGGCCGCCGACCAGGACCGGGAGGCTGTGCTGAAGAAGTCCATCGAGATGAAGTTCCTCACCGGCTACGAGGTCAAGGTGCGCGCCCGTGGCCCTGGCGGCGCATGTCTGCCGCTCCAGGCAGACTCCCGGGGCCTGGGTGGGGGGCAGTGGACTCCTTTGCAGTCACAGCAGAGCCTCCGTTTATAAATGGGCGACATGAAGTGACAGCCACCCTCGCTGCAGAGCCCCGGGCTGCTCGGTGCCTGAAAGCCAGCCCCTGCCCCGCCTCTGCCCCCGAGGTTCTGAGCGGCAGGGCCTGGGGCAGCCGAGCGGGTGCTTAAGGGACCCGTCAGGAGGTGGCTTTCCCTTCTCACTCCAGCAACTCAGAGGTTTGCGCCTGGAGTCCGGGGGTTGGGTGAGAGCCCTCCCGGGAAAGGAGGAGCGGGAGGAAGCGGCAGCCTGTTCTTAGGGCCTGAAAGACGCTTCTGTTTCGCACACACGTTGCACCTGCGTGCCTCTAGGGGGCGCCTCCTGCATTGGGCGCAGGCCCCGCCGGGGAGCCCAGGTCATGCCTTAATGCTGCTTCCGGCTCCGGTCACCGGATCCATCTTGTTACAAGTTAAACACTCCACTTCCAGCCGAGCTTCTGGCGGCAGGCTGACCCCTCCCCTCTCTGCCCGCAGGCCATGGAGGATGCCCACGTGGACGCCATCCTCACGCTGGGGAAGGCCTTCGCCTCCCAGGAGCCCTTTGACTTTGGCACCCAGAGCACCACCGAGGAGATCCACAACCTGATTCCCATCATGCTGAAGCACCGGCTCATCCCGCCCCCCGAGGAGACCTACTCGCTGCACCGGAAGATGGGGGGCTCCTTCCTCATCTGCTCCAAGCTGAAGGCCAAGATCCCCTGCAAGGACATGTTCGAGGAGGCCTACAGCGACTACTGCAAGAGGCGGGACGGGCAGTAGCCCTGGCCACGGACCGGCAGGAAGCTGGTGGGGGCGGCGCTCCGTTTCAGCTCCTGCCCGCGGGAGGGTGGCGGGCTCTGACCGGACGCTGCTGGGGCCCCATGGCCAGCGCTGATCAGGGTTTTTATTGCTAAGAGGGTGCGGCGTGAGGTGTGCACGAATGAGAATGAAACCCCAGCTCCTCTGTCAGAACCTAACAGTTGTTTATTGAGCCTCTGGAATCCTCTAGACAAAGATAAAAAGGCCATTTTATTTCCTTTTAGTACGGGTTTTACCTAATGTGAGTGTTAACCAGAAGGCGAGACCCCTGCCACCAGGAAGAGAGTAGAGAACCCTTTTGGCTGCTGCTGAACATGAGCTATAAGGTGTGTGCGTGTTTTCTGCCTTTTCCTCCAGCTTGTGATCGGCATCCGGAGTCGGACGGGAGCAGTGCCCACAAGTACTGTTTGCCCGAGAGAGGCCCGCTCTCTGGCTGGTTGCTGTTCTGTGAGAACTGGAAGTTTCTGGAGAATTGCTGCCTCCCGTGGGCAGGGTCGGGAGCAGCAGAGGGGGAGAGTGACAGCTCTGGTATTCTAGGGCGGGCAGAGGATGGCGTGTGGGGACCCTCCTTCCCCTCCGGACCAGGGCCCTGGTGGAGTGATACCAACGTGCAGATGTCACATGGTCAGACCGGGGTCCCCACAGGCTGTTAATTTTTGTAAAATTCTTGTAATTGTCTGATTTACTTGTTTCAATAAAAGCAAAACAGCCCAACCGGCGTGGCGCAGTGGTTGAGCGGCGACCTATGAACGAGGTCAGGGCTCCATTCCCGGTCAGGGCACAGGCCCGGGCTGCAGGCTCGAGCCCCAGTGTGGGGCGTGCAGGAGGCAGCAGATCAATGATTCTCTCTACGCACTGACGTTTCTCTCTCCCTCTCTCTCTGAAATCAATAAAAACGTATTTTCAAAAAAAGGCAAACCATCCTACCGTTGTGGCCTGAATTCTTTCCTCCTAACGAATGAGGAGCCAAGGTCAGTGCGCACCCGCCGCCGCCTGTTCCTGCGAGGCCTGCACATGTGCCCGTGTGAGGCTCTGAACGTGCCTGAGCCTGGAAGGGGGGAGGGGCAGCCCCGCATCACCACCCCAGCAGCTCCCCTGTGCACCCCCCAGGGCCCTACCCCTCACACAGAAAAGCCGCAGCCACTCAAGAAGCTGGAACTCGGCAATGCTGGCAACTGGGAAAGCGGCAGCCAGCAGGGCCCGCGCTCCTGAACCGCAGTGAAACCCACGTGAGATCAGCCGCAAATGAACTCCCGACACGTGGCTTCCCCGGCGGGACGAGCTCGGGAACAGGAACATTCAGGTGGAGGCTCCGAACACCGTGACCACCTGCAAAGTTCTCTCGGGGCTGAAATAACGGGGAGAGACTTCGTCCGAAATAGGTTCGCACACGGGTCCTAAGGTGCTAAAGGCAAACCTTTGCAAGTTGAGATGGATAAGCAACACGCTGGGCTCTGGGCCGGGAAGGCGTGGTCTCCATGGCAGCTGCTGCCCTGAGGGTCCAGCACCACCCGCCAACCCCTTGTCAGCATTTCGTCCATCAATTTAAGAATCCCCATTTTCTTTCATGTGCACACGGAACAGTCTCCAGAATAGAACACATGCTAGGCCACCAAACAAGGTTCATAAATTCAAGACTGAAGTCATATATCAAGCATCTTTTGCCACCAGAGGGGCATGAAACTAGAAACCCACCCAGGAAGAAAACTGAAAAAGAATCAAAGATGTGGAGACTGAACAACACGCTCCGAAACAACCAGTGAGGATGGGGAGGAAGTAACAAGGACACAACAAAAGCAGTTCCGAGGGAATCCAGTCATAGAGGCCGACCCCAGGGAGCAAGGAAAGTCATAACCAAATCTATACGCGAAGGACCTGAAAGAGAACAAAGCCCAGAGTAAACGGAAGGAAGGAAATAGTTAAGATCGGAGCAGAAATAAAATTAAAAAATGGACAAAAATTACAGTTTAAAAATAAAACTAAAATTGGCAAACGATTAGCTAAACTCATTTAAGAAAGCCCCAATAAAAATATGAACGAAAGAGACATTACAACCGACACCACAGAAGTACAAAACATCATTAAAGAGCACTTACGTACAATTACATGCAACAAATTCAACACTCCAGAACAAAGGGGGACATTTCTAGAAAATTTATGGCTTCACAAGACAACCCAGAAATACAAAATCTAAACAATGATTACTAGTAGTGACGTTGAAGCTGTAATAAAAACAACTCCGGCCCTGGTTGGTGGCTCAGTTGATTGGAATGTCTTGTAGACCAAAACCGCTTATGGGAAGCAACCGATCAATGTTTCTCTAAAATAAAAAAAAAACACACACATTCTCGGATGAGGATAAAAAAACACACCTCCCAATAAAAGTCCAGGACCAGATGGCTTCACAGGTGAGTTCTATCAAACAATCAAAGAATTAATACTTCTCCTTAAGCTGTTTCAAAAAACGGAAGAGGAAGAAGTGCTTCCAAACTATTCCACAAAGTCAGCATCACCCTGACACCAAAACCAGAGAGAGACATTACAGGAAAAGAGAATTACAAGCCAATATCTGATGAACAGATACAAGAAAGAGAACTCTAAAGATTTCACTAAAAAACTATTAGAATGGATAAATTCAGGACACAAAATTAATATTCAGAAATTGGCTGCAATTAACTATCAGAGAATTTAAGACAACAATCCCATTTACAATTGCATCAAAAAGCATAAAATACCTATGAAGAAATTTAACCAAAGAGGTGAAAGATCTGTACTATGAAAACTATAAGACACTGAAGAAAAACTGAAGAAGATACAAATAAATGGAAGGATATATACCACGTTCACGGATTGGAAGAATTAATATTGTTAAAATGTCCTTACTACCTAAAGCAGTCTGCAGATTGAGTGCAATCCCAATGGCGTTCTCAGCATTCTAACAACTAACCCTGGAATTCATACGGAGCCGCAGAAGACCTGAACAGCCAAAACAATCTGAGAACAAAAAGCAGGAGTGCCACGCTTAGTGCTGTCAAACTATACTAAGGTCTGCATTATTAAACCTGCGGCGCTGGCGTAAAAACAGACACACAGGTCAGTGGACTAGGACGGAGACCCCAGAAATGAATCCTTGCGCACACAGTTGATCTACGAAAAAGGAGGCAAGGATAGTCAAGGGGGAAAGGAGAGTCTTCAATGAGTGGTGCTGGGAAAGTAGGACAGATACATGCATAAAGGGAAAGTGGACCACTTACATCACGTACAAAAATACACGGAAAATGGACTGAAGACTTAAACATAAGGCCTGGAAGCACAGCCTGCTAGAAGAAAATAGGCAGTGAATCTGACATCACTGTTAGCAAATATCTCCTTGGATATGTCTCCTCAGACAAGGAAAACAAAAAATAAGCAAATGGGACAACTTCAAACTCAAAAGATCTGCACAGGGAAGGAAACCATTAAAACGAACAGATAACCTACGGACTGGGCAATGGTATTATTGGCCAATGATACACTGACAAGGGGTCAACATACACAATACATAAGGAACTCGTATAAGTTAACCAAACAATCCGATTAAAAAGGCAGAGGACCTCAGTAGGCACTTCTACAAGAAGGACAGCAAATGGCCGACAGATGTATGAAAAGGTGCTCAATGTCACTGATCAGGAAAATGCAAATTAAACCACCATGAGATGCCAGTGCATACGTGTCAGAATGGCCGTCACCAAGAAATCAGCAAGTGCTGGCGAGGAGGGAAGAAACCCACCTCAACTGTTGGGACTGTAAACTGAGGCAGCTGCTAGGGAACCAGTATGAAGATTGTTCAAAAAATCAGAAACAGCTGCCACACTATCAGCAGGCCCACTCCTGGGTACTTATTCAAAGAAATCAAACACTAATCCACAGACACCCACACCCACGCTCACCGCAGCATCAGTAAGAGCCACGAGGGGGAGACGCTGGCCGTGCAGGATGCAGGCACTCGGGCTCGGCCTGCAGAGAGCTGAGAGAGCCGAGAGCTTCAGGGGAAGGGGGCGCGGCTCCCGGCTGAGCTGTGCGGGACTGAGCAAGTCCTGGTGCCTCCCCACGTCCTCCACAGCGTAAGGAGGAGCCGGGCGGCAGGAACAGGGCCCGTGAGGACAGTCGGTCGCCTTTGCTCCGTCCTCAGACTTTATGATCAGGGAGGAAAGACAGCACCCTCCATTCTAACAGCCCGTTTTATTGCGACGCATCCAAGTCTGGTTAACACTGAGTGACTCCAACATAGATACTGGCGAGGAGTCTCTCACATTGTCACTGTCCACCTTCAATGTTTCTTACATTGTCACTGTCCACCTTCAATGTTTCTCACATTGTCACTGTCCACCTTCAATGTTTCTCCCATTCTCACTGTCCACCTTCAATGTTTCTCACATTGTCACTGTCCACCTTCAATGTTTGTGCAAAAGAATCCACGCCCTGTTGGTCGCAGAGCATCTCTTCAGCGTTCCCTAAGAGATTGAAAGCATCAAACCAAACAAAATGAAATGCGTGACCAAAGGCCAAAGCAATCGCGTGTCCTCTTCCAGGCACACGTATGTGTCAGCATGACACTCCAAACAAGAAACTGGTCACACCCAGGCCATGCAAAACTGAACACGATTACAATGGGAAAAACCCTGAAGATGTATAAAACAAGTGGTATCACTCTACACGCTACCAAATAAAAGGGCAGGTCACCGTGTCTTCATGGCATTTCAGGCTGATGTTTTCCCAATTTCCCCTCAGAAATGACCAGGGTTCCTGTGTGCCTGGCTGTCCCTGGGGGATGAGAAGCCGGGCGCTGGGCTGGGAGCTGGAGCGAGGACTCCAGACATTAAAGTCGGACAAGGAAAGAGGTTTGACCCAGGCAAGGAGATGGCGTGAGGCTTCGCTGGCTCAGGGGCTGGGCGGGAGGTGGGCGGGAGGTGGGCGGGAAGTGCCCCGGATCTGGCCTGGCAGGTGGCGGTGAGCTCCCGCTGTCAGGGCGGCCCAGGGCCGCGGTCCAAGGGGAGGGTGTCCGCCCTCCCTGCTCTGGCTCTGCTCTGAGATACCCGCGTCCACAGGCGTGCAGCTGGTCTTTCAGGGCGATGTGGCCGCGGTAACAGCAGGACACAATCTAACCACGGGGGAGGCCGAGAGGCGAGAGCAGCCCGATGGCGGGCGGCTGTGTGACCGGAAAGGAGCTCAGATTCTTGCCTGCAGCGCGGGGACAGGCCCCCGGGAAAACCGGGCCGGACCGCGGATGGGTGTCCTGGGGCCGGCACTGCGCCCGGGAAGAACACGGTCACCAGTGTCGGGGCTCGCACGTAAGCCAAGCGAGGTCGGCTTTCGTCACATTGGATGGGAGGGACACGTATGTACACATATTCGCGCACGCACACACCCCAAGCACACGCAAGGCGGATCCCAGGGCAGAGAGCAAAGTTGGCTGGACACATAGCACCGGACGCCATCACCGGACGCCATCACCAAACGCCATCACCAAACACCATCACCAAATGCAATCACCGGACGCCATCACCAGATGCCATCACCGGACGCCATCACCAAATGCCAGCACCGGACACCAGCACCGGGTGCCATGTGGAGCAGGTTTATTCTTCCCGCTGAGGACGAGCTGCTGCCTTCCCCGCACGCAGAGTCCCCCCCCCCCCCCCCCCCCCCCCCCACAACGAGGGAGGGATGGCTGCCAGCGGGGCGCCACTGCCCCCGCCTCTGCTCCGCCCCTTCGAATGGTCCTCACTGGGCTTCCCTGCGCCCCCATCTCTCAAGCCCTTCTTCTCAGCAGCTTCTGAAGGGGCTGATCTGTTGGGTAAGACCAGCAGGATGACCGCTGTCCGGGACCCCGCGAAGCGGTACCCGCGGATTTCTCCCCAGTCCTGCTGCGAGGCCCTAACATTCGGACGCTCTGTGGTGACGGTGAGACCACCTACCAGCGGTTCTCAACCTGTGGGTCGCGACCCTTTCACAGGGGTCGCCTAAGACCATCGGAAAACACATCTATAATTACATATTGTTTTGTGATGAATCACTATGCTTTAATTATGTTCAATGTGTAGCAATGACATTGGGGTCACCGCCACATGAGGAGCTGTATCAAAGGGTCGCGGCATCAGGAAGGTTGAGAACCACGGAGGGGAAACCGGAAGTGCCGGGCCGGGCCCACTGGGTCCACCAGGCGCCCAGCGCCAGGCAGGCTCTCCCCGGCCTCGCTCTGCCCCGCGAGGCGAAGGCTGTGGCTCCCGGTGGAGGGACCCCAGGGAGGGGTGTGTGTTGACCCTAAAAGCAGCCTTTAAAGAGTGAGCACCTACAGGCAACGAGAATTCACTTAGCTGTCGAAGAGATAAGCGAACGGCTTAGAGTCCCAGGAAGAGAGGGGGTGAGGGGACTGCGGGGAGGCGGGGTGTGGGGGCGCTGCCTGGCTGGTTCCCTCCTCCTCATCAGAGTCCCGTGGCCATGACCCAAGACAAGGTCCAGTCCTGGTGCCGGAGGTCCAGGACGTTTTACGAGTAACGACACTTCTTTTCCAAAAGCCGAGAGACTTCGGAGACCGGAGCTGGCCGTGGTCAGGCCCGTCCCAGCCCACACGCCTCGCGCCAGGCCCAGCGTCACTCCAGCTTCCCCAACTTCTCCACCGAAGCCCCACACAGGCCCCTCTCCCAGGAGTGGCGTCACTTGGAGGCGCCCCGGCTCCCCCTCCCCGCGGGGTTGGCGGCGGTGGGAGGGGTCCGAGGGCGTGGGCTGGGGGACTGAGGGCTCCACCTGCAGTTCAGACCGGCGGCAGGAATGCGCCCCTCCAGCTGAGGCTCAGGACAGGGAAACCCATGTTTAGTTCTCAAATCCGGATGAAAAGGGAGAGGACCCTGTACCCCTAGACGTTACTTCTCTCTCAGGTGCTTTGCGGGTGAAATGGGGAGACAGGCGGTGCCCCTCATTTCCTGGTGGCAGATCAGAACGGCCGGATGCGAATGGGGATGTGCTGGTAGCTACAGGGCGGCCAAGCTCTGGGGCCCCAGCTGCCGCCTGGGCCAGCGCCCTCATTCCCACTGGGCCTGGGGAAGGGGCTTGGTTAAGGCTGTTCAAGGCCTTGCGTTGAGGTTTATTTGGTAATTAACCCCCTCTCCCAGGCTCCTCTGAGGAAGCTGGCACCACACTCACAACAGCCCCTCCCTAAGGAGCCGCCCCGTGGGACAGGCCTCCCGAAGCTCCTCCCTCAGCGCCTCCTGGCACCTCCTGGTGGCACCTGGGGCAGGTCAGCCCGCACACCCTTCTCTGAGCCCCGAGGCCCCTCAGAAGCCGGCATCCCTGTGGGATGGGAGGGACCAGGAGGAACACATGGCATCTCTCCATCCTCTGAGGTGCCACAGCATCAGGGAGGGGGAATGTGGCTCAGGCGCCACTAGAAAAGGATTTGCCTGGGAAGCTGCTGCGGAAGGGGCTGCCAGTGTCACCAGCTGGTGCCGTCACTGCCCAAAACACCGCCAAAGTGACCGCTCCCTGAGGCCAGCGGGGCCCGGCCTGAGTGCCCTCAGGGACTTGGCTGAGAACAGACAACAGACAACAACACACGCCTTTAAATTAAATGATCGCTCTCTTATATATGCATCCATCTGTCATCGAATACAAGATGCTCTTCGCTGTGTACATCCAGCACCCACCTCTGCATGTGCACTCACACTCGGGGCTGCAGTGAGATCAGCATCGTTTAGTCCATAGATTCACTGGCGACGGGCAGGACCATCGCTGGGCGCCGAGGGCGGGGGCCGCGGCCGGGGCGTGTGCTGTGCGGGGACTAGAGACTACTGGGAACAGCGCCGCCGACTCCATCGCGGGGCGCACGGTCCTCCGCCTACGGAAGCTATGGGGGGTGGGGGTGGGGGGGTGGGGGGGGCACGAGAGGGCGGCTGCAAGGGCCTGAAATGAAACCAGTCAGCCAGGCGCCTGGGGCGGCCGCCGGGGCTGCAGTGCGGAGGGCGAGGGCCGGAGCCGCCTGCACCCTGAGCCCCGCCGGCCCTGCTGCCAGCCTGGCAGGCGCGTGGGGCAGAGGGGAGGCAGGAGGGGAAGGGGCCTAAGAGAGAAGCAGCTGTCTGCTCTGGGCCAAGCAGGTCACGGGTCCCAGGCCCCGCGGTCGGTGCTCTCCAGGGAGAGGCTCTGGGTCTTGCGCGGCGACGCGGGGCTGGGCGGGCTGCTCAGGTTGGAGCTGTTGGACGCCGTGGAATGCCTCGGGGAGTCGGAGTCCTGGGGGCCAAAGGGGGACATCAGTGGCTGCAGGGCGGGAGGGCGCAGGGCAGGGCAGGAGGGCGCAGGGCAGGGCAGGAGGGCAGAGGGCAGGGCAGGAGGGCACAGGGCAGGGCAGGAGGGCACAGGGCAGGGCAGGAGGGCGCAGGGCAGGAGGGCAGAGGGCAGGGCAGGAGGGCAGAGGGCAGGGCAGGAGGGCAGAGGGCAGGGCAGGAGGGCACAGGGCAGGGCAGGAGGGCAGAGGACAGGGCAGGAGGGCACAGGGCAGGGCAGGAGGGCACAGGGCAGGGCAGAAGGGCACAGGACAGGGCAGGAGGGCAGAGGGCAGGGCAGGAGGGCAGAGGGCAGGGGCAGGAGGGCAGAGGGCAGGAGGGCAGAGGGCAGGGCAGGAGGGCGCAGGGCAGGGCAGGAGGGCAGAGGGCAGGGCAGGAGGGCACAGGACAGGGCAGGAGGGCAGAGGTCAGGGCAGGAGGGCAGAGGGCAGGGCAGGAGGGCAGGAGGGCGTGGGTGGCCTGGCCCCGCCACCGACCGGTGGTTGTTCGTGGGGACAAAGCCCTACAGCGGGTGCAGGGTCCATGGCCCGGGGCCCCAGCCCGGCTCCAGACAGGGCCACCCGCCCCACTCACCTCCCCATCATAGTCCCTGGCCGGGGCGTCGCTGCCTTGGTCCATGCCTCCCGACGACAGGGAGCCCTCGGAGGGTGACGGCAGGGGCTGGCGCTGGGCGCTGTAGCTTCCTCCCGAGAACTCTCTCTTCAGGGCGCTGCCGTTCTGTGCGGAGGACCCTGCGGCAGCACATCATGCAGGTCAGTGTGACCGAGGACGCGCCCAAGGGGAGGACAAGCCTCCTTCCCGCCCGGTCCCCTCCTGGCTTCGAGGCCGTTGCTGATGGACAGTGAGTCCAGCTGCGTGACCGTGGCTCCAAGTTCGCCCCAGAGCCCAGCTCCTCGCACGCTGCTCTGCTCCAGGGAGCACCAGGGACGCCTGGCGAGGGGGCAGCACACCAGGCCCTGCCCTCCCCCAGGCGCCTGCCCTCCCCCAGGCCCCTGCCCTGGCTTCTCCCAGGCCCCTGCCCTGGCCTCCCCCAGGCCCCTGCCCTCCCCCAGGTCCCTGCCCTCCCCCAGGCCCCTGCCCTGCCCTCCCCCAGGCCCCTGCCCTGCCCTGCCCTCCCCCAGGGCCCTGCCCTGGCCTCCCCCAGGCTCCTGCCCTGCCCTCCCCCAGGCCCCTGCCCTGGCCTCCCCCAGGCCTCTGCCCTGCCCTCCCCCAGGCCCCTGCTCTGCCCTCCCCCAGGCCCCTGCCCTCCTCACTGAACAATTCCCAAAGAATCCGGCCCTCCCACTGCCGGGAGCCCCAGCCCCTGGCCACGGCTTTCACAGCATCTGCGCTGTTACGTCCCTGTGCCTGCCCTTCTAACGAGTGGCTGCTGCCTCGCCAGGGCCCAGCACAGGACCTGAGCACACGGGCACTCAAAAGCCTGCTGAGTGATGAGGAGCAGGACCTTTCCCTGATGCATCACTGTCCCTTCACTTCCGGGAATTCTTGTAAGAACAAAGGCACGCACGCAACTTCCTTCTCAGGGCAAAGAGCCGAGAGCACAAGATGCGGTGGGTTCCCTTGAAAGCATCTATTTTGATCTGAGAGTCGGGATATGCCAGAGGGAGGCTACCACCACTCAGAGGGGAAGAGGGATGACAAAAACCCTGGGAAACCCTGGGCTATTGTTAGTACTTGAAGCGCTGGGCATTCCCTATTAGTTTTAAATTTTTGCTTAGAAAATGTTTTAATCTTGCTGTGCTTCAATATTAAGATCATTGGTCAAAAAAGACCCTGGTGAAGAACCACATTGGAGGGATCACAATCCCAGGTATCAAGCTGTATTCCAAAGCCACAGCTCTCAAAACTGCCTGGTACTGGCACAGGAACAGACATATAGACCAATGAAACCGAACAGAGAACCCAGAAATCGACCCAAGCCATTATGCTCAATTAATATTTGACAAAGGAGGCAAGAGCATACAATGGAGTCAAGACAGTCTCTTCAATAAATGGTGTTGGGAAAATTGGTCAGATACATGCAAGAAAATGAAACCAGATCACCAACTTACACCATACACAAAAAATAAACTCAAAATGGCTAAAGGACTTAAACTAAGACAGGAAACCTAAAAATCTTAGAAGAATCCACAGGCAGCGAAATAGCAGACATTTGTCGTAGCAATAGCTTTACCGATACAGCTACCAGGACAAGGTAAACTAAGGAGAAAATAAACAAATGGGACTACATCAAAATAAAAAGCTTCTGTACAGTGAAAGAAACCATCAACAAAATAATAAGAGAACATACGTTCTGCACGGGAAAACATATTTTGCCAATGTTATCTTTGATAAGGGTTTAATCTCCAACATTTAAAGGGAACTCATACAACTTAACAAAAGGACAATAAACAATCCAATCGAAAAACTGGCAAAGGACCTAAGTAGCTACTTTTCGAAAGAAGACATACAGAAGGCCGAGACACACATGTAAACATGCTCAAAGTCACTAATCATCCGAGAGATGCAAATCAAAACGACAATGAGGTACCATCTCACACCTGTCAGACTGGCTATCATCAACAAATCAACAAACAACAAGTGTTGGAGAGGATGCGTAGAAAAAGGAACCCTCGTGCACTGCTGGTGGGAATGCAGACTGGTGCAGCCACTATGGAAGACAGTATGGAGTTTCCTCAAAAAACTAAAAATGGAACTCCCATTTGACCCTGTGATCCCACTTCTAGGAATATATCCCAAGAAACCAGAAACACCAATCAGAAAGGATATATATGCACCCCTATGTTCATAGCAGCACAATTCACCATAGCTAAGATGTGGAAACAGCCTAAGTGCCCATCAGCAGATGAGTGGATTAGAAAACTGTGGTACATCTGCACAATGGAATACTATGCTGCAGTAAAAAGGAAGGAACTCTTACCATTTGCAACGTCATGGATGGAACTGGAGAGCATTATGCTAAGTGAAATAAACCAGTCAGAGAAAGATAAGTATCACAGGATCTCACTCATTTGTGGACTATAATGAACAACATAAACTGATGAACAAGAATAGAGCCAGAGACAGAGAAGCATGGAACAGACTATCCAACCTCAGAGGGAAGGCGGGGGTGGGGTGTGGGGGTGGGGTGTGGGGGTGTGGGGGTGTGTGAGGGCATGAGCTGGGGAGTGCCCGGGCGAAGTCAATGGGGGAAAAAGGAGACTTATGTAAAACTTTAAACAATATAGAATTAAAGAAAAAAGACCATGTGGAGGTTTCTGTATAAGATATAGACTGTGATTCTTTCAACTTCTGGCTGGCTTAACAAACCCCAAATTTAGTGTTTTACACTAAGAATTCAATAAAAATGCCAAAACATGACTGTGCACCTAGTGGCCACAATCCCGAAGGCCTGGGGCGGAGGGAGCCCGCGGGAAGCCAGGCGTCCTGGTCCGCGGCGGGAGGGGCGGGAACCAGTGTCTGCAGGGCCACGAGCGAGCGCCGGGGAGCCCAGTGGCCTCGGGAGGCTGAGCAAACGGCCGTCACCACACAAGGAGCAGCTGCTCTGACTGGACAGCCCGAGCGCAGTGCGGGCCGGTCTCTCGGCGTCAGGCGCCCGGGCAGCTGGCGTGGCCGCGGCCTGTGCGGGTGGCGTGGGCACTCACGTTCCCGTTCGCGCGCGAAGCAGCCACTGGCCAAGGACGGCCGTCCCCGAATCAGAAGCTACCAGGGCCATCCCCGCCCAGCACCCAGGGGCCACCGAAGGTGAAGTGACTCCAGGGACGGGCTGCAATGAAATCAGCCAGGGTCCCTGGGCAGCCCCTTTCGGGGGAAGCCGCTCCAGCACCCCGGCGCTTTCATTCCCATAAACCGCCTCTCCCTTCGGACACACCGCCCCTCCCCGCTGAGGCGCTGCCCGGGCGGAGCCGTCCCCCCCGGCCGCCCTGAGCCGGGGTCTGCGAGGACAGGAAGAAGCCGCGGCCGGAGGGAAAGAGAGGCTGGCACCAAACAGCCCTGGAGGCGCCTGGCGGCAGGATCCGCCCGCACCAGCCCAGCGCGGAGCGCGTGCACAGGGCCCTTCACAACGGCGGGGCGAGTGATGAATCTTCTCTTGCTTTTGGGGCAAAAGGGTGCGTTCCTGAGCCTGTCCCCAGCCTTCTCCGAGCTGACCAAAGGCGCATGTCTGTCCTACCGGGGACACCGTACAGGCAGGGACGCCGCCAGCCCCTCGAACCCCGGGGAGCCGCGGACACACCAGGCAGCCAGCCCTGCAGGAACCCGGTGCACCTCGAACCCCTCCCGCCGCCTCCCACACTAACGTCAGGCGTCTCAGGGTTTCCACGGGGAAGGAGCTGGAGCCGGCTCCTCTCCCCTCCTCTCCTCGCCTCCGTGGCGGCTCCCAGGCCCGCAGCCCCGCCGCCCCGCCAGCTCTACCAGCCCCTCAGGTGCCTCCAGCCCCGCCTGCCTCTCATCCCGTCTCCATCTGGCCGCCCGGAGCGGGGAGCGCTTCTCAGAAGCAAACTGGAGAGAGGTCCTCCCTACTCACCACTCCTTAAAGGCTGCCTGTTCTGCTTAAAAAATAAAAAGCACAATAAAGTCTGACCACCTGGCCCAGGGGCTCAGTGGTTGGAGGGCTTCCCCGGCACCAAAATGTTGCAGGTTTGACCCCCATCAGGGCAGGTGCCTTGGTGGCGGTCTGATGCCTGGTCGGGTGCCCACAGGAGGCAATCAATCTCTCCCTCCCTCCCCCCCTCTAAACTCAAACATATATCCTTGGGTGAGGGTTTTTAAAAAGGCCTCACCTTACTCCCAGCCCCTGCCTGAGCGGGCCTTTGCCACCTCTTGCACTCCAGTTCCTGTCACTCCCAACACCACCAGGAGCCACGCTGGCCGGCAATTAATCCACAAGACTCCCCCGTGACCACATCCTGGAGGGCGTGTGGGTTTCCTAACTGTCCTGGTACGAATTTATCCCGACAGCTGCCGGGGCTGCCACGGCACCGTGTAGTCGTTCGTCAGCACGCTTGGCAGCGCCCTGGCCTGTCCCGAGGTGAGTGCAGCTCTAGAAGGACCCAGGCTATCTGCTCACCCCTGCGCTTGCCGGCACGGGCAGCAGGCTGGGCCTGAGCGCCCCGGGCTGCACAGGGTGTGCAGGGGCTGCACGGGGCCGAGGGGTGTGCAGAGCGGGCTGCACGGGGTGTGCAGGGGCTGCACGGGGCCGAGGGGTGTGCAGGGGCTGCACGGGGTGCGCAGGGGCTGCACGGGGCCTGCGGGGGCTGCACGGGGCCTGCGGGGTGTGCAGGGGCTGCACGGGGCCGCGGGGTGCGCAGGGGCTGCACGGGGCCCGTGGGGCGCACAGGGGCTGCACGGGGCCTGTGGGGTGTGCAGGGGCTGCATGGGGCCGCGGGGTGCGCAGGGGCTGCACGGGGCCTGCGGGGGCTGCACGGGGCCTGCGGGGGCTGCACGGGGCCTGCGGGGTGTGCAGGGGCTGCATGGGGCCGCGGGGTGCGCAGGGGCTGCACGGGGCCCACAGGGGCAGCAGGGGCACAGGCGCGGCCGCGGGCCACTTACTTGCCGACAGGCCGCTGCTGGCGCTCATGGAGCGGCCGGGCTCGGGGCGGGACTTGGTGATGGAGGGAATACTGACTGAGCCGCTGAACACGGTCCGGCTTTCCTGAGGCCGAGGGTTCTAAACAAAAGAGAAAGAAAAGTTCTTCAGCCAGAGAGAAGCCCGCTTTCTGCAGAACGTCTGCCTGTCACTGCAATGTCAGACATGAAGTGATCCTGACCAGCTGCAGCCCCTCTGCCCACGGAGGCTCACCCAGCCGGCCGCGCAGGGGGTGCGCACCGCCCAGGGACACTCACGGCCAACAGGCGGCTTCTGCCGCCGGGAGAGCAGCGGCGGCTCTACGGTTAGAAGCGGCCGAATTACATGGACATTGCAGGCACGTGGACAAGGCGTCCACTGCGCACGCGGCTCGTATCAGCAGCTGAATAAGCCCATCCGGAAAAAAATCAGTTAAGAGCAGATTCTTTTGGGCAAATGTTTCTCTGGCGCCACACCAAACTGCCATTTGCCTCTGCACGTCCCGTCCTGTTCCAGCATCTCAGCCCCACATCCGAGCAGCACCGGGTCGTGAACGGCGCTCGCAACCACCACAGCCCGGGTGGAGGGACTGAGCCTGGGAATGCTGGTTTGAGAAGTTTTCCATCTGATTAGTGAATGATTTTGGTGTCCAAGGTAGGAAAAGGGAGTGATGGAGTCACACCCCCAGAGAGGGGGTGGCCTCCTTGGGGACCCAACCTTTTCAGCCCAGAAGGGGCGTCAGGCTGACACGGACAGGCGGTTGGAAAGAACAAGTACCGCAGCCCGGGGCTCCCCTGCGGCCTGGGGAACCGGAACCGACACTGCAAAACCACACTCACTGGAAGGTGGCGGGCAGCTGGCCCCAAAGTCACCCCAGCCATTTTGGTCCATATATCAAAGCTGCAAAGTCCATGTAATTCTTAGTGTTATTTGTCTAAAGCAAATGCTTTACCTTCTTTCTCTAAGAAAGTAAAAAATTCTGAAAGTTAACAGTCAGTGCTAATGTTTCACCATTCACCACCCAGGAGCAACCCTCTGGCGCCAGCGAGGTGCACGCAGTGCCGGGAAGGGAAGGAGAAGAGGTGGGAACGCCCGCCTCCACCCTCACTTTCCTGGCCTCTGCTACCAACCTGGCGGTGCCTTTTCTATAAACAAACCGCCCTGGAATCCATGGCAGAAATGAAGCCCATGGAAGGGCGCTGGTGCTGTAGTAACACTGGATGTTGAAGTGATAAAGGGATGATACACAGAAGATACGTTTTGTTAAAAAAGCAACAACAGCCCAACAGTTTATCATCCAGTCAGCTAGAGGTCAGCTTCGTTATAAAGTGATACGAAGCCTAACCCGCTTTCATGGGCAAATGTGCTTAAGGCTTGGTGAGCGTTCTTCTATTTATAAATGACCAACTTAAGCCATATTCCCGCCATCTTTTACAAAGAAATGGACTGACTTCTACAACATTCTCCTAGAACCCATTCCCTGGATCTGTTTCCACACTAAGGCTTACTTTATCATAAGTCATCTTATTTTAAATAAGAGACTTAAATGACATAGTTTAAGGTCAAGGACAATGACATTTATTTATAATACAGACGAAAAGTAGGAAAATGAACTTCTCACCCCATAGCTAGTTTTCCTATTGGAAAATTAATTTACTATGTATACAAATAACAAGTTAATGCTATGATTTACCTAAGCCAGAGGGCACTATAGAAAATGGATTTGCATGATATGATCCAAATATTTTATCTGTAAAACTAACTTGAGAGCCTTAGCCTGTTTGGCTCAGTGGATAGGACATTGGCCTGTGGACTGAGGGTCCTGGGTTCAATTCTGGTCAAGAACATGTACCTTGCTTACAGGTTCCCCAGCCCTGGTCAGGGTGCATGCAGGAAGCAACCAATTGATATGTCTCTTTCACATTGATGTTTCTCTCTTTCTCTCTCCCTTCCACTCTCTAAACATCAATGGAAAAATACCCTCGGATCAGAGTTAATAAAAAACCCACAAGAAACACAAAAGCTAACTTGAGAAATGCCCCCTGCAGCTGAGGTACAGCATGGGCTTCTGGGAGGGAATGTGGGTGTTCAGCGTCAGTGCCGCCTGCCCGCCACTGCGAAGCCACCGGTAGCAAGACCGAGGCCCAGTGGCCGGCCGGACAGCAGGGCACGGTCAGCCTTCAGAGGCTGCACAGCTGGTGTTTTTTCTCTGATTTAGCGCTTCTCCGGGATCCCGGCTGGAGTTAAAGGCACGCCAGCAACTTGAAGATTAGCAAGACCACCTTTTCCTTGTGGTTTTCCCTGTGGCTCATGAATACCGTTTGGAGATTTTTAAGCCGGAGGGAGTTATGGTAGAGAGGAGGCCTGAGGATAGGCCCTACCACAGACTTGAACGTCACTAAATACAAAACGCTTCTCTGAATGAGCTACAAAAAATTCTGAAATCCTGGGACCCCTCTTTTGTTTTTAACAGAGTCAGGACCCACTGGGTGCTATTTCTTATCATGGTATCTGTAATGGAAAATACCACGATGGGAGATGTTTTATTAAACATACAAAAACCTCTAATAGTTTCAAAAATAAAATTGACATCCTCCCTGTCCTCATCTTTCTCTTTAAAAGAAGAAACAAAGTGGAACTTGAAGACGAGGAGGAGGAGGAGGAGGAGGAGGGGGGGGGGGAGGGGGAGGGGGAGGGGGGAGGGGGAGACTGGCCGCTCAGAAGCAGGCAGAGGAGCCCCCAGGTTAGTACGTTAACGCCCGACTCAGCAGCTTGTTCGTACCCTCAGAGCCATAAAGCTGGGTGTACCGGGGACAGAGCGCAGAGACGGGGAATGCGCAGAGTTTACGGAATCAGGAAAGAGAAACTTTTCAGCAGAATTAACAGTCATGTGATAGATGTGCTCAAAGTTGATCGGAGAGGAGATCAGACCGGAGTGGTGATGAGGGGATGGATAGGGGAAGCCTGGCTATCAAAACAGAGAGGAGAAAACGGTGATAAGGTGATGAAGTGGAGCCACTGGTTACATGTGACATTTCAGACAACATGCATGTAGGAAAAATGAAGCAAGCGCCTCGCATAGAAGTGAATCTTTAGTGAAACATTTCCAGGCCGTGGAGTTACATTTGGTAATTCTCTTGCACCAGGTATTAAATTGCTGGTTTGCAAACGAACCCTCCACCGTATGAAAGAAACTGCTCTCTTCTATTGCTCTCGCTACGTCGAGCGAACACTGGACTTCCAGTCACAGGGCGCTGTAGAGTTCACGCCCGCATTTTCTTACGTGGCCAAACCTACCAAAAACATCAGGACAGAAAAAGCCAGAAGCAACAAAAGAAGGAGCGAACCAACAGCCAGCCTCTGACCATAGTTTATGAAACGGCTCTTTTCTTTTTTTGTTTTAAAATTTGAATTTATTGGGGTGACGATGGTTTGCAAAACCATACACGTTTCAAGTGTACAACTCAATGAAACAAACATCATTCCACAGTTACTACTTTATTAAAGGAAAATAAGACCAGTAATAGCAAACTCATATCACAAACCTAAAAAGATCAGGAAACATGTCTTTAGAAACCCAAAACCATTTCCTGGTCATTCTAGATTTGTGGCATGAGTTTGCTTTTACTGATCTTACTGTCTTATTATAAAAATAGTAACTGTGGAATATACTAATTATTGGTTTATCTTTAAGTAGCCCAAGCTTATCTCCATTTAGATACCCAGAAGAATAGGTTTGTTTTTAACAAGGGGAAAATCGTCCCTTAAACGTTCAGGTGTGTTTAACAGAAATAATGTAAAGCTAAAGGTACAGAAACACACACTGGAAGCCCAGGACCCTAGTTTTCAGATAAAATAACTTCTGAGTATTCGGGGCCTGTTACTCAGTATCTAGTAATTGAATTGTCAAGATTCAGTTCTTGTACTACTACTATGTTTCCAGAAACATCCTACAATACCTTAACTTTAGGCAAAGGCTGGATGACTTGCCGCAGAGAACACACTGATGGGACTATGGTCCAGGAGCTGAGATAAGCTTTCGTTGTTTAAAAAGGATCTGATGAATTATGTGGGCTTAGAAGAAAGGCTCCTACATAGGACATTGTTTTAAATTTAGAAATGGGAGTGAAATCAGTACTTTCTCAGGTTACTTCCAAAAAGAAAACAACAACTATTGATAGAAATGTAACTTTGATTTTAAGAGGCAAAATTACTTAAGGCTCTCAGAGGTCACTGAGCTAAAAACTTTATTAGTAACTTTAGAAATGGGTAAAAGGCTAAGAAAAACAAAGCTAGTAGAGGTAAAATTATTCTTGTATTCAACTGGAGACAAATTTGCTGTTTATTACCAGTACCCACTGATGAAAAAACACATGCTATGTTATATTAGTTGCCTGTATTCTCCGGGCTCAGAAGGAACATGTGAAAGGTTCACATCTGATACAGGAGGTAAAAGAAAAATAAATGACTCTCTCACCCTTACTACCTCTTCCACATCCATAAGGCAAACAACCCCATTTCAGTATCACTTTGTTACAAAAGAAACAGAATTAAGCTGCCAAAGACATCCAATAAACTCTCTAAGCATGTACGCATTTCACAGGGAAGTAATACTGACTTGAATAAGTAAAACGTAAAAATGTCTGGGTACATGCTCTCTGCTCGGATGACAATGCGTAAGTGTCGTATTTAAAAACTCTTCTTATATATGTTAATGTTAGATTAATTTAATTCAACTTTATGTTTGGAAATAGTTCATTAATATAGGTACTCCCATTTCAGTAGAAAGAACATACTAAATCCTGAGAATAATAAAGTATACAAGCTTCTCGATAAGTAGGGATACAGGCATTCATATTGTTATGTTCCCCAGACATGCTTTTCTTGTTTTGTTTACCAATGTCTACCCCAAGACAAGTGTGTTCTGGGTAGACAGAATATCCAGAAATATTTGCTTGTGTGAAATGGACGCCTATGAAAAGTCCAGCTTGAATGTCCTCTGCTAGTGAAATGAAGAAAGTCAGGTGAAAATAAAGTAAGACGTGACTGTAAAAATAGGAATTCACACACATACAACCTTTAATGAATACTACACGTACAGGTGAGCAGGTTTCAAAAATGTACACCAGTCTCTCATCCGAGAAACACAACAGTGCTACGCGATAGGAAGGCATGAGAGGAATGGAAGGACATGAAAAACTGCCGGGGGAAAGTCACTTGTGTTAGTGACAAAAAGAATCAGCGAGGTGGTCACGGGTTGTGAACTCAGTGACCACAAACACTGAAAATCACGTGGGCTGCAGGAGTGAGCAGCCAGCACAGAAGGCACGTGTCATGACGTCACGTGGGGACGAACCTTTGGGAAATGCTCTCTGAACTTGATTTGCCTGGACTTTACTTGGAACAAAAAATAAAACAGAGACCTCTTTTCAGTGGGAAAGGGAGAGGAAGGAGGGTGCTCTGATAGGAAAGCTCTCAGGGTGTTTGCAGCCTGGCACTTAGCGTCAGTGGCTGATTCAGTCTTCTACTGTGTATGAAGTCAAAGAACTCTGGAACATCAGCAAATTGATTTTTCACTTCATGGTAGAAAAATACCAAACAGAGAAACATTTTATTAAATCCTAAAACTATTTCACCTTAAAGAAGATACTGTAATATGTGGGATATAACAGACTTTATTAAAAGATTTTCTTCTTGCTATGTTGTTGGAACCCTATCTAACGAAAGAGTATTATGCAAATTAACCATCACTCCATCACAAAGATGGCGACAGCCACAGAGCTGGAGCAAGCAGGAGGCTTGGGTTGCCCCCGGTGATGGAGGAAGCCAAGCTTCGCGCCTGCTCTGGCCAGCCCTGGGCTCTGGTCAAGGCAACAAAGTTTCTATTCTAGAAGATAAATAAATCCCAGATACTTGCTTCCAGCCCGCAGCTGTGGCCAGCCTGAAAACGGTCCCCAGCCCGTCACCCAGGCTGGCCAGGCACCCCAGTAGGGACCCCCACCCTGAAGGGGGTGTGGCCAGCCTGAAAACAGCCCTCAGCCCCTCACCCAGGCTGGCCACACTCCCATGGGGTGAGGGTTCCCACTGGGGGGCTTGACCAGCCTGCAAACAGCCATCAGCCCCTCACCCAGGCTGGCCAGGCACCCCAGTGGGGACCCCTACCCTGAAGGGGGTGTGGCCAGCCTGAAAACGGCCCTCAGCCCCTCACCCAGGCTGGCCAGGCACACCATTGGGACCCCCCACCCTAAAGGGGGTGTGGCCAGCCTGCAAACAGCCATCAGCCCCTCACCCAGGCTGGCCACACCCCCATGGGGTGAGGGTGCCCACTGGGGGGCTTGACCAGCCTGCAAACAGCCATCAGCCCCTCACCCAGGCTGGCCAGGCACCCCAGTGGGGACCCCCACCCTGATCTGGGACACCCTTCAAGGCAAACCAGCCAGCCCCCACCTGTGCACCAGGCATCTATCCTATATAATAAAAGGGTAATATGCAAATTGACCCTAACAGAACAACTGGGAATGACTGGTCACTATGACACACACTGACCACCAGGGGGCAGACGCTCAATGCAGGAGCTGCCCCCTGGTGGTCAGTGCGCTCCCACAGGGGGAGCTCTGCTCAGCCACAAGCCAGGCTGATGGCTGCCAGCACAGCGGTGTTGGTGGGAGCCTCTCTCGCCTCCTCAGCAGCGCTAAGGATGTCCAAATGCAGCTTAGGCCTGCTCCCCGCTGGCAAGTGGACATCCCCAAGGGCTCCTGGGCTGCCAGAGGAATGTTTGACTGCCAGCTTAGGCCCGATTCCCCCCAGGGAGTGGGCCTAAGTCAGCAGGTGGACATCCCCCGAGAGGTCCCAGACTGTGAGAGGCACAGGCTGGGCTGAGGGACCCCCTTGAGTGCACAATTTTGGTGCACTGGACCTCTAGTACATGATATAAAAACTGTATTCTTTTTTGTGCACTACAATGAAGTAAAAGTGAAAGAACATTTAATTTTAAAAGAACAATACCCATTAAAGCCTTGTTAACTGCTGAAATAATTTTGTATTTGCTTTGCATCATATATGTATGTGTTCAAAATTTATATCCTTTTATCTCTCCATAATGCTAACTATATATCAGGTGTTGAAAAACTATTTACTATCTACATTTCAAAAAGTTTCATTAAAATAGTATATAACACTTTATCAATCATACAGAAGCTATAAATATATTCACATTTCAACTGTATCATAATTTAAAAATTCTCTTAAGGTACTTTGTACGTGGCAAGGTAACTTCCATAGGGAAATCGACAGAGGCTTTGTGCTGTGTGGCTGATAAATTTCCTTCTGGGAATGAAGGGAAACCAGACAGGGCTTTAAGCAAATGTTCAGGATGGGAAAAGAAAGGAGAGAATCTGAAATCTCAGTCCCAGGCAAAAGCTGAAAAAATAGTATAGCATTTAAATATAACAGTTTAATATGTAGACTCAGCCTCTATTTATGCCCAATATTTTTGGCCTAATATGTATGCTCACCTTACATTTTCTAGTTTTAATTACTATGTCAACATTAGCTGCACTCTTTTTGTAGTTTATTTACATTAACCAGCACAGCTAATGAAAGCCCCATTCCAAAAGGATAAATGACTATTATGAATGATTTGCACGCAAAGGAAGGAATATTAGTGTAACCACATAATGTCTTATGAGAATGTCACTTTCATTCATAAGCAGACCAGCCGGTTAATTGGGATATTTACAATGAGGAACTTGGACTCAAATGAATGCACACTTTTTGTTCCTCCCATGAAATAAATGCAAAACTACCTATAAAGGCTTCATTTTTTCTTTTTTAAAAATCTGACCACACATTAAATTATATTACCTATCATTTTTCCAGCAGTGACGTTCACATCTACTATGACCATAGAGTTAGTAATGTGGACAGTTAACAGGCTTCCTTAGCAAGAGCTGAGGGTCACAGCTCACAAATCGTCTCCCAAATTGCCATAATCTATAAATTACGCTTAAAATTCTGTGCCAGATCTAGATGCTATCACCACTGACAACAGGTCCTGCTAAAGTTTCATTAGCGTGCGGAGAGCACTCAGAGACTGGAATGGTAAGTGTAAGTGGAGTGCACTAATAGACTTAATTTCAACACAATAGGTCCAAGAATCCAATCTTAATGCTGTTAAAAACACACACAATAGTTTTCCCATGTGGCACTTTTTAAAATTTCACCAAGCCAGTGCGGTCCTCGGGGTGGGGGTGGGAGGTGGGGAGAGCCAGCATCTGCACCAAATCGCTAAAACGTAATGAAGTCTGAGTCATTTGGTCACCAAGTTCTGAATCCTGGTAGGAACCTCTTCAAAGCTGGAGCTTATTTTACCAATGAAGGAAGTCTAGGTGTGGGACAAGTTTATAGGTTATGCAACTACACAGAAACTTGATGTCTCTGGTGTTTGACAGATGGCTAAATTTTATATTTTTCTCATCAGGTATGCTGTCATGCAACTCACATATGCTGTGACACTGTGATAACTTTCCTCATTATCCTAATATATGCTGCCGGGAACCAATTCCAGCATGTCATAATTTCAAGAGTTTCATCAAAAGGTTGATGAGACTTGGGGACTCAACAGGGTTGAGTCACACATGTAGTTACCTGTTGGGAATGGCTAAAGGCATTTCCCCAAACCTGAATAGGAAACTGATTGTGGCTGCCAGACAGTTAAAGGGCATCTTAATCTACATGTTATTGCCTCCTACTGGCCAAACACCTGAACAGCTGTAGGCTAATTCCCCCATTCTGACAATGGGCTCTGCCTCACCTCAGGACAAGTTGTGTTAATAAAAAGCATGGAGTCCTGGGGGCGGGGAGGACCTAAGGCCTTAGACTTAAGATCTTAGAACTTAGCTCCTTTAGCTAACTAAGCTCCTCTGACCCCCAATGCCTTTCAAAATGTATTTCGTCTCCGGACTCTGTATTAGCCTCTGGACTCTTATTTAACATCCACGCACAGCCCCTTCTCCAGATTCCTGAACCCTTCTTGATGCTGGGACAAGAACCCCGGCAATATGCTTTTAAGTCATACACACACACACACACACACACATATCTGAGCACATATATGCGGGGTGCAAAAGCAGGTAGGTTTACAGTTGTTCATATGGAAAGACATGCAGGTTATGATGATCACAATAGCTTTATTAGCTCAAAAGAATGTCACATGCAACTGTAAACCTACTTTTGCCCACCTCTGTACACACACACACACACACACACACACACATACACACTCCCCCCTCCCTTACTCTTAACCCCAATTCATATTCACATTCACTCTTCATTTCCCTTACCATGGGCAGGTCTTTTAGGATCTGTATGCCATCTCCTGGACCCATGTGTGCTATGTGGTTAAAATTAGTTGGGTTAGAAATTAATTTATTTCTCATTTCAGGATCTCGTAGCATCTCTCTGTAAGAGAAAACACCTGTTTAGACACTTCTTCTATGATCAATCTAGATAACTCTAGAAACAAATTACGTATACATTATTTTTTCATAAAAATACTGTGAAATCATATTCATATGGATAGGATTAAAATAATATAAATAATCAATTAAAACTTACTTAGATTTGTTTTATCTTTTAAATAGAAGATCTTACAATTTTTGGTGAGAAAAGAGAGCATTTTAGTATAGAGACATCGAAGAAGCTCTATTCTATTTCACAGATAATTCTGAGCATTTCTGTATGTCTCAAAATAATTGATAACACTTAGAAATATTTTTACATGTAATTGGAATACTATAAGCCTATTTCTGTTTGCTCATAAAGAGAATGGTGAATCTAAAGTTCTTAAATATATAAGGTTTACTATTATGCAATGATTGGTTCTATGTTTACATTAAAACAAGGCTCACATTCTAAAACTTCTAACTACTCCACATACATAGAGAAATGAATCAAAATATGGTATTTTAGTCTAATTCACACAACTTGGAGAGTGTTGATTAAAGTGACTCTGAGACGTGCAGACATTCTGGCAGTTTTTAAACCACAGATGAATGACAGATTTTCAGAGATCAAATTTTCCTTCCAAAACACATATAATATTTTCACCAAACAGCCCTTCCCATGCTACCAGCATGTGTGGGTGACGGGAGAACGGAAGCAGTTACCTCCTCTGTTGCATCCTTTCCTCTTCCGGGACCCTGAAGGAGTAACGCCGCTTGTTGTTAATATTTCTAACCATTTGTTTTCGACTGTTATCTGTGGTTTCAGGAACTACCAGTTCATCCCCTTCTGTTTAAAAAATACAGAGAACAGTGATGTACTTTAAAGTGCTAGAATGTTTTTTACCATTCATCTCTAAGATAGTATAAACTTAATTGTGCAATCACAGTACATGCAATTCTGATTTTAAAAGCTGTGTTAATGATCATCTATACTAATAAAAGGGTAATATGCTAATTAGACCAGACATCTTCCGGACAAAGCCATGGTGGCAGGGGCCGAGGCAGAGGCAGTTAGGGGTGATCAGGCCGGCAGGGGAGGGCAGTTAGGGGGCAATCAGGTAGGCAGGGGAGGGCAGTCAGGGGTGATCAGGCAGGCAGGCAGAGGGGTTAGGGGCGATCAGGAAGGCAGGCAGGTAAGCGTTTAGGAGCCAGCGGTCCCAGATTGTGAGAGGGATGTCTGACTGCCAGTTTAGGCCCAATCCCGCGGACATCCCCTGAGGGGTCTCACATTGGAGAGGGTGCAGGCTGGGCTGAGGGACCCCCGCCCCGTGCACAAATTTTGTGCACCAGGCCTCTAGTAGTAAAATAAGCAATAATTTTCAACAGTATATAAACAGATGCTGAAATTAAAAATAACTTACAAAGGGTAACTTCACTTTTATTTGATTATAAACATAAAATAGCACAATTTTACTAGAAAGAAAGAAAACTGCAGTTGCCTCAGTGCTTGGTCACTCTGGCCACCCTCCCGTAATGACTACACTATCTTCTCTCCCCTTCCAGGTGTTGGTCTCACAGGCTCAGGGTGTTATGCTATTGCTAACCTGCATAGCAATCAGGCATCAATGGTAAATTTTTTATGTAAATGATAAGTACAATTACTTTTACATATTAAAACATTTCCTTCGATGATGCCATCTGAGAGGCGTAGGGTCAGGAAAAGGAAGCGTTGTCCTACCAGCTGCCTTTACTACAGGCAAGAACCTGTCACCTTCCTACTCTTCTCATCTGGGGGCAGATGATACTGATTCATATACACCGAGTGAGCCGTGCCCATCTCATTCTATTTCAATTTTAAATACGCAGAAGTAAACAAAACTGTCAGCATGGGCCCCCAAAACCTGCTGGGGTATGTGAACATACTGTCAAGTAGACAACTGTACCCACAACATGGCAGATGCCATTCTTTAAGCAAGATCAGGGAAAGAGAAAAGGCTCTAAGCCTGATACTCGAATGGCAGAAGGTGTCCCCACAGCCCCAGACAGGGACTCCGGATGAACTGTCACAATTTCGGGGCTACAAGCCTTGGTTAGGTTCTACAGTATGGAACGTACAGAGCACATATTCAGTCATCCTTTCTCTACTTACCTTGGTGTTCCACAGAAAAACAACACGGTCCGTCAGAAACAATACCCTGACTGCACAGCTACGCAAGCTAAACAGAATGGCTTTGCCCAGCAGTTCAGCTCAGTCTACTGAGAGAGCGGGACAGCGGCCAAGACCACAGCCTTCGGAGAAGACACAACTGAGCTTGAATCTGGGCTCGGCCACTTCTTATCCCCAGGCAGTCCGCTTAGCGAGAACATCCTGTTGGGCTATCCTGTTACTGTGCATTTTCTTACCTGCCATCTTATTTTTGAAATAAATTAATCTAATCGTCTCCAAGCCTAACAGATTTAATGATCCTTCACTGTTTAAGGGTCGAACCTAAAATAATAAAAAATAAAATTAGTATTTCAACAAAACCTTCAAAAATTAAACCATATAACTTTTGGCCTATTTATAAACCACACACATTTATGTTATCCTTCCTCTCCAAAATATAGCCCTCTCAGAAAATCAAGAAAAAATTAACACTGATTCTCACTGGGAAGGTATAAAATTATCTAATTTGAACAAAGTTATAATGATAACATTTTAAAGGAAGACTATTCCGGACAAAAAAAAAAAGTAGAAATACATTTAAACCTTAAATTTGACTTCTTTAAAGCCATTAGTGACCAAATTATTATACTAAGGTATCAACACAGACACTTTATGACTCTTGTTTGAACTAAATGGACAAACAGCATAGTTAACTGGGGACATGCAAATTAATACATCATGAGATATCACTTTATAACCATTTGCCAGGGCTATAAAACTATGAATTCTGACCATGGCCAGTGTCAGACAGGGTGTGGGTCAGCAAAAACTCTTACACACTGCTGGTGGGAGTGCCAACGGGTATAATTACTTTGGAAAATGATCTGACACGAGCCTGTAACACCAAACACTTGCATTTTCCATGCACCATCAATTGCGTGCCCAGGCACAGGACTTAAACTCCTGCACACACACACGCACCAGAGGATGTGCGCAACAATGCTCATAACAGCAAAGAGTTGGGCAATAAGTCAAGTGCGCCAATCAGAGAATGGGTAAGTTATGATCTGTTCACCCAACAACATTTTATACAGTGAAAGCAAAGACTATATGGAACAGCATGGTGGTTGGTGCATGGAACAACATCGATGAATCTTAGAAACACAGTAAATGCATGAAGAACGCAAGGTGGAAAGTGATATACGACAACATTTTATGACCTCAAATGCAAGCAACACTGAACAATATATTGTTTGGAAATATTTAAATATGTAAAAAATTCTGGCTTTTGTGATGAGCAAGGAAATGATAAACAGCATTCGGGGAGTGGATGCCCTGGAGGGAGTGTGCGATAAGAGAGAATACACCGGCAAATGCAGTGACAGAGGTAATCTTCTGGCTCTTAAGTTAGGAGGTGGGTCCACAAGTGGTCAGTTTAGTAAGGCTTTTCAAGGTCACATATTCTTTCATATATATCGTAATGTTTACATAACAACAATAAAAGGGATACTAATTGTAACCAACCCAAATGTACAAACTGGAGGGCTGTGTTCAGCAGCTCTATGTAGTGGCGGTATCTGCAGGAGCTTCTTCCCTGATGATGTGGCTTAAAATCAAGGAAGATTTTGAAATATGGCTCCTTTCTTCTACCTGTTCTTCTAACCCTCGCCCCTCACGAGTGACACCTGCTACTTATTCTATGTGAAATGACTACTCTTGCAAAATAACCATTCTATACTAAAATTCTACAAATTCCTCTTTACATTATCACAGGGAAATGTTAAAGAAAAATATTGTTTTACTGGGAACATGTGAAAGCTTTATGTTTTAATTCTGAGATGATTAAACACAGTTTTGGTTCTAATTCTAATCATTCTTCTGGCCTGTAAATCTGTCCTCACAGGATTTCAAATTGAACACCGTTATGTGCAAAACATCATAATTAACAATAATGCACCCCCTCAGAGCTCCTCAAACCAGAGGGGAAGTTACCGCTGACATCTTAGGTCAGGGGTCCTCAAACTACGGCCCGCGGGCCACATGCAAATACAAATATTGTATTTGTTCCCGTTTTGTTTTTTTACTTCAAAATAAGGTATGTGCAGTGTGCATAGGAATTTGTTCATAGTTTTTTTTTAAACTATAGTCCAGCCCTCCAACGGTCTGAGGGACAGTGAACTGGCCCCGTTTAAAAAGTTTGAGGACCCCTGTCTTAGGTCGTAGGACACACCCTAGTTGTTCATGATAATAATCATACTTCATACAGAAAAACTAAAGTCATAAGAATAGTATGGAATTGAGCTACTTATAAGATTAACAGGATTGCTTTTTTATTGTTTTTTCATTCTTAGCTAAATTAGTGAAAATGAGGGCAATAGTCATGTCAGTGTTTACTACACACATCAGTTCGCTCAGCCCGTATTTTGATGTTAGGTTACCTTTTTGAGCGGGAGCGTCTGAATCCACTCCATGGAGTTCACATCGAAGACGTCCACCGCGTTTTCACTGTACACGGACAGGTAGGGGGCATTATAGCCTGGGGGAGGGGAGAGAGCAGCCTGCTGGTTACCTTCAACTACTCACTGAAGCCAGGTATCCCATTTCTTACTCCACATAAGTCAAACTCTGAATCATCTGACTGGGCTACAAAACAGCATTCATTCTAAACATGATGCCATAGATATGAGTATGTATTTCACAAGAAACAAAACGTGAAGCACAGTGATGTCTCCGTTTGTGGATTAGAAGTACTTTCCTTCTCTTTATCTAGATTTCCTGGTGTTTCTGCAATAAACGTCCTTCTGCTGAACCCCTAAAGGCGCCGTGCTCCCCCCGCCCTCCGGTCCTGCTGTGGGGGAGGCGCTTTCCTCCTGCTGCCCGCAGCATCCTCCCCGCATCCTGCCCGTCTACCTCCCAGCCTATGGCCTCCTCAGGATCTCACTCCCATTCCTGTATTTACTATAGAGCCACCTAGTGGCTACTTCCCTTCGGCATTTAAACATGCTCAAGTAAAAACAAAAGGTTCTGGGTTGGATACTCCTACTTACTGGATCACAGGCAGTGAAATGCATATAATAAGGATTCCAAAACGTATTAATGTCAGAACATTTCCTCAAAGAGTGAAGTAAACAATTTTTTAATATATACCTATCTAAATAAAAATGTAAAACTGAATATCACTTCTTACAGATGCTACACTATCCTTTACGTAACCGATTAACACACTTAGTAACACAACTTCTCCAGAGGAAGTCTTATCAACTATTAATAATCACACTGTATTTTTGAGGACCACAAAGATACAATTTAGGTTTTTTCAAAATACAGTAACATGGGTTAAAAAATCCATCTAAGTACAATATTCCATAGAAAAATTAGCTTTAATTATTGGCATGTTAATGTTGATACTGTTGTCCTAGGCTTAACTACACATGGTTACTTTACATAAATAACACAATACTTAGGAAAAACCTTACAGATGGCTTAAAAATGACCAGTTATTAACAATAAATACATCTAGGAGATGGAGTAGAGGGAAAAGAAAGAGAAAGAGAAGACAGCCGAAAGGAAGAGACTCACAACAGGAGGAAGGGTTAGCTGGCCACGTCAGCTCCTGCTGCCTCGACCTGCGGCCCTGGCAGTCGGTGTAGAGCCCGATGCTGCTAAAACACAGCAGGTATTCTTTACTGGAGATCTCCACGGCGCAGATGGCGTCCAGGGGCTGATGTGTGACAAAGGCCAGCGTGTGGTCACTTGAGTGGAGCATACTGCATGAAGTTCCTTCTCCGTTCAAGGGGTATCTCTGAAATCCCGACTGGAATCCCACACAGAGGTGTTCACTGAAGACTGCCATCCACTGGACATTATACGGGACTTGAATTTCCTTAAATTTTCTGTGACGGGTCTTGCTCTGAAATAGTTCGTAACAGAGGACCTGCCTTTTCATCGCCACACACAGGCAGGTGAGCGTGCCGTGACGCAGTTTCCCAGAAGTTATGGTTTGACACCCTTTAGTTTCCGCCAGCTTATAAAACTCAGTCTCTCGTCCGTCCAAAGCTGACATAGGAAAGAGTCGTACGTGACGGTTTCGTCCTGAGATCACAGCAACGAGCTGATCATTTGGAATGAGTTCAATTTGATGAATCTTCTTATTGTCACCAACTCGAATAATTTCTATGCAAAGAAATAATAATAAGTCAGATGCAAAATAATGTTGTTTATTTATTAATCATATCCCAGTTATACTCAAAAGGATATATGTCAACCTATAATAAAGACAGATACACATAAAGAAAAGAATAACAGCTCAGAAATCACAGAGGACGAGGAAGATAATTGCACCCATTACAAGATAATTAACTCACTACAGTAAAGTATTAAATTCAGCACTGAGATCTCTCGCAGCCAAGGCATAAAGCTGCTATGTGATAAGGCATGCCAGATCTTCAAAAACAATAACAACAATAAACCTCTTTACTGGCACTAAGTTTCAGGGAACTTTTTACTATGGGGTTTGTTGTTTTTATTGTTTGTTTTTTTTGTTTTTTTAAGTAACTCATATTTCAATAAAAGTATTTGTACGGGTAACAAACTAATGAAGTTTAAGTGCATTGTTTTCCCATGAACTAACTTGATATAAATACAGAACTTAGAGCTCTGTATTCAAGAATGCTAAATTAAATTGGTTTCTTTATTTCACCCAGTATTTAATTTATCTTTAGAAAAAGATCTTTGTAATAAACTATGGGGAAAAACCCCCAACAAGAAGCCCATTTCAATGAGCTACCTCTTCGAGTGCTATTGGGACCATGGAAAAAGCAAGTGCGTTTTCTTTCAGCACCTTCTTTAGAAGTGCAACCTGAGCCCTATAGCAGAACTTAGTCCCACAAGAACAAGGATCCATACGTGGATGTTTTAGAACTCAGGATGATGATAGAAGTTAAAAAATTATCTTTTGACTTATAAACATATCAAATTAGGTGTGGAAAATTTCAATTATAGAAAAAGTAAGCAAATCCTGCTGTTTATAGAATTTAGAAACTAGAGTTTAGAATTTTCTAGCAACATACAGGTTAAAGTTACCCCACAATAATTTTTTTCTTACCATCTTTGGTGACATGCACAACAAATAAACCTTCTTCATTTCCCAAAGCTATCCTTTCATGATCTATGCAAGATATAAATAAATATGAAACATTTTTATTAGGTAAAAACTATGTAAAATAATATAAAAAAGATAACAAAGAAATTGGATATAAAACCCTGAAATAAACAATATAAAAATAGCAATAACCATTTTTACTATTAAATTTCCATTCATTTCTTTTTTTTAAAATATATTTTTTATTGAATTTTTACAGAGAGGAAAGGAGAGGAATAGAGAGCTAGAAACATCAATGAGAGAGAAACATCGATCAGCTGCCTCCTGCACGCTCCCTACTGGGGATGTGCCTGCAACCAAGGTACATGCCCTTGACCGGAATCGAACCTGGGACCCTTGAGTCCGCAGGCCGACTCTCTATCCACCGAGCCAAACCGGCTAGGGCTCATTTCTTTTTTAATAGAATCATCATCAGAAAATTATCTATATCAATATTTACAAAAGAAGTAAATGTTTATTCAATAAAAGGTGAAAGGCATTTGAACCCTACTCATTCAACTTTTTATTATTTACTAGGAAGCAACAGAAGAGTTAGATGTGTACATAAGAATATGGTGGCAATTTAAACTTCCAGACACAAAGGCTGCCATTGTTAGGGCATCTGATGCACAAGGGCATTCTGTTCCGCCCTGCCTCTCAGTTACACTTTCCAATGACCTCTGCAAGGCAACTGCATCCACACTGTACACGGAAGGTTATGCTTTAGAAACGAAACAACTGTTCTCAACCGCACATGCAGAGGATAGAGATGCTCGAAGTTAAACTTTAGCACCGCTGCTTTTGTCAGAAGAAAACATATTTGAAAGTGGACTTATTCCGGTTTACTGAGAAACAAAGCTTAAAACGGTCTCATTCATCCAATAAACACTGTGCACCTGTGATTTACCACAGACCAGGTTGGACACTGGAATTCCTAGATGGAAGCAGCCCCCCTGACCAGGTAGGTGAGGAAACAGTTGTGATCACATGACCGAGGCTATCAATGCGTACCTATGATTGCCGCGGCCTGGGTGGTTTTAATGAGGGGCAGCGTGCTGTCATAAGCCTCTTTGGGAACATAGACGGAGCGGTCTCTGAATTTGTTTTTCTTCAAAATTTTCTGTAATTCACTCAGCACTCCCACCCACTTGCTCTTCTCATTCTCACTATCTGCCAGCATCAGGATCGAGCATTTGTTATTAGGTGCTGAGAGCTGGGACATTGTGACCTAGAAAAATTGAAACAAAATTCATGATGTTAGAAAACAGACACCCTTTAGGTCAGTTTTATGCTTAGATTAGTTTGCTTAGCACTAGCCCAGAGGTCGCCAACCTTTCAGACCTCATGGACCACCAGTGGTCCGCGAAAATGAGCGTCCATGAAGTGATACCTTTAGCAGCGGTCAGCTATTCCTAATCAGAAGAATAATTAGTTTCAGCATTAGAATTCGTGGTAAAGCAAAGGTAGCAGATACCATTCTAAGTGTTAGTATCATTTTTTATTTTCTTTGTATACAGTGCCAGAATACTATCACTAGAAAATGCAACTGACATTTTTGAGTAATTACTGATCTCTGGGCATTGATCAAAGTACTTTACAAGTATTCACTCACATAACCTTCTCAACATCTTCATAAGGTAATTATTGTTATTAGTCCTGACCTTATACATAAAACACTGTGATGCAGAGAAATTAATTTCCCCAAGGGCACACAACAAAAGTGGGGTCCCTGTCCATGCTCGTAAGCACTATATTATACTGATTTTCAACTTTTTTTAAAAGTCAGAAATGCTCAGAAATACTTACATTCTGTTATTCCATAACAATAACTCACATTATCTTAAAGAAGATAGATCCTTTAGTTACTATTTAAATGAAGCTTATCATTATGAAAACAGCATTTATAACTGGGCAGATTTAAATTACTTACATATGGACCGTTTATAAAAAGTAATTTAAACAGCACGAAAATAAAATCCCACTATGTATCAATTACAGAAAAGCGGGCTTCTGCAGGCTCCATAGGAGGCTGGAGATAGCAGAGTTGTTATTTCAGGAACTGAGACAAAGTACTGTATAGTCTTTGTCTGACCTTCCTTAGATACAAGACTCATCGACAAATACTAAGCATACAGGCATAAGGTTGGGGCAGTATTCCTTTTTTTTTTAACCTCTTTTATCTTAATTCACCAATTCTAGATTGCACTGTGGACAGCTTCCAAAGATGGGTACCAACAATCTTTCTATGGAATTCCACTCTTCTTATCAAAAAATGGAATCTAGTTCTAGCTGGTTTGGCTCAGTGGATAGAGCGTCAGCCTGTGGACTGAAGGGTCCCAGGTTCGAATCCAGTCAAGGGCACATGCCTGGGGCTGCTGGCTCGATCCCCAGTAGGGGGCGTGCAAGAGGCAGTCAATGAATGATTCTCTCTCATCATTGATGTTTCTATCTCTCTCTCCCTCTCCCTTCCTCTCTGAAATCAATAAAAAAATATATTTTTAAAAAAGTGGCATCTATTCCCTCCCCTTAAAGCCAGGCTGACCTCATGACTTGCTTTGACTAACAGACTGCAAGAGGGTTATTATGTCTTTTGGGGTCTACACTTCAGAAGGCCTGAAAAGGCCCCTCTGCTCTCCTGGAAGCCAGCCCTGGAGAGCTCGGACAGCCTACTGGACGACTAGAGACCACAGAGAGTTCACAGAGGGAACTGACCGCCCGGCCCACAGCCAGCACCAGCACCCCGGATGTGAAGAGGAGGCCATTTTGGAGCTTCCAGCCCCAAATGAGTTGAATGCAGCCACATGAAGGGCCCCGGCAACAGCAAAACAACTGTAGAGCTGACCCACAGAATATGCTGAAAACAAATCACTGCTACTTGAAGCCACTAAGTTCTGGAGTGGTTGTTGCAAAGCAGTAAAACTGGAAAACATGTTAATTTTTAAAATGAGGTTAAAAAGAAAAAACTTCTATTTTTTAAAAAAATTGGGTAACTCACACTTAATTTTCTGTGTGACAGTATTTATTTGAAAATTCAATTGTGATGCAAAAATATTATCAAAGAGGAAACCTAACTTAGAAGCTATACATAACGCTTTCCTCAGGCCTCTCAGATATAAATATTTACTGAGCACTATCTATCTACTCACTCACGTACTGGAGAGCCAAAACATATCCTCATTAAAAACAAATAATTTAGTCATCAAACTATAACACACATACTTACTCTAAATATACAGGGTATATCTTTTCGACTTGCATGAATAACATCGGAAGCCAAGACTGAACTCACAGAAAATTCTTCATCCCTGAAGGAAAGTGAAATGTTAAAAATCAGTGTGTGTGGGTATGTGTGTGGTCTTGGGTGTATATCCAAATAATACATATGAAACAACACTCAAAACTGAATCACACAAAACATCCAAGTTGAATTCTTTATAAAAATTTTATTTTCCCTCCATTTCAACTGATAGTGCCACAATAACTGATCAGTAGCGTTACAGTGGCACATTACACAAGAGCTAGGAATACCTCCCGGCTCACCCAAAGTGCCAAGCCAGTAGGAACAAGGTACTGGGATTCGAAAATGAACCTGAACCCTCTTGCCTCCCATGATACACCTCAAGTGCCCTCAACACAGCTCATCTGTCATTTTACTGTTCCGTCAACACCTAAAACAGATTGCTCCACAATAATTTATTCCTGAATTTGGTTATTGGTACCATCACCGTCTTGGTTTTAGGGACTTGACACCTTAGTGTTATCTTTCATCCATCTCCCTCTTTCTATATTTAGGCCCTTAGCAGACACTGCCAGATTTTCCTTGCTAATATGTCTTGAGTTTATTCCTTCCTATTCCATATTTATGGGAAAGACATGGACTATGTTAGAGATGCTGGTACGAGATGCTAGTGTGAGCCAGAGTTGGAAAGCCCAGCTCTGAGTGCTGGAGGAAGACCTGGACTGGAGATAGGAGTGTGGGAGTCGGCAACGCTGCGGTGGTGGGAGCTATGAGAGTTAGTGAGGGGACCCCAGGAGAAGGGCTGGAGCTCTAAGAGGAAAGGACGGCACTGAAGGGGCAGGATGAGACCTGAAAAGTGAGGCCGGGAACAGTCACGATGTGTTATGTAAATGTTTACCAATGTGTTACATATTCCAAGAGCCTATATGACTTTGAGATTTTTATTTCCTTTCCTACATGGAGGTTATATTCTAAGCCTTTAGGTGATGATATGAACACTACGCCGTAGGCTTCCAACACCTCAGCAACCTTTAAACTGGTCCTTTGGATGCAAACATTAGCTTATTTTCTCTGACCCCCAATCCCCCCTAAACCTGTCCTATAACTACACCTTACTTCCTATTTTTAATTATTGTACTACTACAGGCCTGGTGCACGAATTTGTGCATGGGTGGGGTCTTGCTGGCCGGGGGAGGGGCCACGGGCAGTTGGCCAGCCGGCCCTGCCCCCTGGTCGAACTCCCGGTCGAAGGGATAATTTGCATATTAGGCTTTTATTAAATAGGATAGCAACGTTAGTAAATTAGAAAATTAACATGAAATGAGATTTAAATAAAAACATGGTAACATAATTAGAAGAAAAATCACACATTTTTGATCCCCATGTTGCAAAGATGCCAATATCTTCCCCTCTGAACGCTTACCTCATGTCAATCACTTGACTGACTACAACGCTGGGCTGCGATGCCTTTCCCTCGGCAACATCGTACAGGAAGAGTTTGAAGTCACAAACTACAGCCAATGCTCTTTGCCATCCTTTCTTCACACCAGCTGGCTTAGGGATCTGAGGCAAACACACAAAGAAAACAACTCACACCGGAATGGCACCCAGAGCCCATGGAGTTACACATGCACCCGCGAAGCCTATCACTCCGGCTGGTAAAGGAGCAGGTGGACCACACACATCGTTCACAAACTGTGAGGGGACACCCTTCAATCACCAAAGGATTTTATATTCTGAAAATTGTTAAATGGCACCATTTTAACGTTCTCTAGTAATTAACTAAACATTCATGGATTTCTTTCTAAATAGCATAAAAGTCAGATTTGGTAGTGAGATGGAATGCAGCTTACACTTTAGATGTCATTCAAGATTACAAGTAAGATTATGCCTTGACACTATCTCATACGTCATAAGCATAAGCCACCTCTCCACAAGGCCAAGAGCTGAAGACCCTTTTTATGGAGATTCCAACATTTGTTCATGACAAGATAAAGACTGAGCGGAAAATTTTGAGACATTTTATAATTGATTTCCAAGCAAAGACAAGGTTTTTGTTTTCAAATCATTACTTGGGTGAAATAAAATTATTAGGTAAATTTTATTCATTTAATTTTCTGTTAAGGACTGTGTTTGTAAGGTGACTGGACTGCATTTTAATCCATTAATGAACCTTAAAAGATTAATCTAAACCCAACTGAATGACACTTACCCTGACATGGCCTTCATATGCTGTTCCTATTCCTTTCTGAGGATCTATACCCAGGGGACCTTTTGTCTGTTCAGGAGGAACTGGACACGCGGTGGGAGCTTTGTTTACGCAAGTTATATGACACGAGAATCCACACACTTTTGGAAGGACAAAAAAAGAAACAAAGTTCAACAAAAATTCATTTTACAAAAAGAAAATCCACCAAGAATTCATTACAAGCAAGGTAAATGAATGCTTCTCTCTGAACTTATTTTCAAAAACTATTTTGTCATTTGGGGGGCTGATTTATTTCCATAACAAAAAGAACTTCAATGTCAGTCATTATCCATCATTTCATTCACTCAAAACTCTCAAATCTCCACTTTCCAAACTGACCATTTTCTTTGGCTCTAAACTCATGCATCTAACAAACTAATTAAGATAATGCAATTGAGATCTGCCACTTTGGTTGGGAGAACTAACCAAACAGAATGCATTGCGTGGACGCTACTTAATTTCCCCCTTATCCAAAGTATTCACTCCAGGCCCACTACCAGGGTCCTCAACCAGGGTCTACCACCAGGGCCCTCTACAAGAGTCCACTACCAGGGCCCTCTACCAGGGTCTACTACCAGGGCCCTCTACCAGAGCTCTCTACCAGGGTCCTCTACCAGAACTCTCTACCAGGGCCCTCTACCAGGGTCCACTACCAGGGTCCACTACCAGAACTCTCTACCAGGGTCCTCTACCAGGGTCCACTACCAGAACTCTACCAGGGCCCTCTACAAGAGCCCTCTACCAGGGTCCACTACCAGGGCCCTCTATAAGGGTCCTCTATGCGCAACTGCTGGAGACTGAAAACCTTCCTTCAAGGTCCCTCCCAACCCTAATGGCAAGAAACAGAAACTATGTCAGAATTTGAATCAGTAACAATTTCCTTATCTTTTTCATAGTGAGCGGTAAATTATATATGAGGTATTGGTATAGTTGCAAGTCTCGTGATTGTAAAAAAGCGTATTTCTAAAATATACACAAATACTACATCCCATTATAATTTAGATCATTTTCACTTCCTAAGTCACAAGAAAAATAAAGTGATGCCCAAATAAATACAGTTTTCTTTTCAAACCACCTCTGCTCTCTCATCTCTCAGAATGTGGGCTCCGTGAGGGCAGGCTCTGTGTTCCACACCCCGCACCCCCTCCGCCTCCTCCACCATTGCATGCCCAGTGCCCAGAAGCACAGAGCGGCCATTCCATAAACAGTGACGGATGAATCAGTGAATGGTAGGGAAAACCTCTGCTAGTAATACTAGAAATAAAATACCTTTTGAGGCATAGTGGCAGACATTTAATATTTCTAAAAAGATACTGCATTGTCTACTTTCTAATAACAATTTATCTGATCAATTAACCAAGGTTAAAATTAAATGAACAGATTCAAAGATAACTTTCATGTCTTTTGCCACATATATTAATGGTTTTTCGAAACCACAAAATCATCTGAATAATAAAATAAAGATGAATAAGACATTTAAATATCTCCCCTGAAAAATGTTTCTGGGGACTATCCATCTAGTTTCTCTAATATTCAACAGACTTTCGCAAGGTGCTCATTTTATTGTCTCTACTCCTGTTATGCAAAGAAAAGCAAATGATTAAGTAAAACAAACATTTACAAACCTTATGAAAAGAATAAAGTTACCTGATTACAGTTTAGGTGGTAACTGTTAGGGCTCTGAAGTCACATTCCTTACCATTTTATTCTTACCTTCACAGGAGCAGCCCTGTCGGATCAGGCCCACCATCAAAGAGGTGCACTGGTGACACTTGGTGGGAGCAGTAAAAGATTTGACAAAAAACTGATGAGTCTTGCGCTGCAAAGCAAATGGATAAAAACATACACATAGTGTTTACTAGTCCAAAAATGTAACATCAAAGTGACATGTTACATAACTAGAGGCCCGGTGCATGAATTGATGCCCAGGTGGGGTCTGGCTGACCCGCCCCGATGGGGGCCCATGAGGCCGGGCCGGCGGGGAGAGGGGCTGCCAGAGGTTGGACGGCCAGTCCCACACCTGATCGGGGTGTTGGGGGCCAATAAGGGGCTGGGCAGGGGTGGGGGGGCAATCGGGGCCCGGAGCAGGCCAGTTGGCTGCCACAGTGCTTCATAGCCACGGGTCATTCCGATGGTTCCACTGTTCTGGTTGCTGGGCTTTTATATATATAGATATCTAACTAAATGACTGAAGGTGTTTTTAAATATAGGTTTAAATTTAACTGTTTTACTGCATCAAACACAGAAAATATTTTATGAGAATAAAAAGTCTTCTGTATTCTGCTTTAAAACATCTATTGGATTTGTATATAAATTGCATGTTGTTTTCTTAACTTATAAATAGATGTTTCATGGGTGACCTTTAAAACATTTCTCTTTAAGAACACACGGTGTGTATGTGGATAGTTTTTATTAGTAATAAATGAAAAAGATATTGAAAAATGACAGGAAATAAATACGTCAGTATCATAAGAAAAAACAACAACAACAAAAACACACACACTGGTCATTTAAAGAATCTTCATATGATGACTCTCTGGGCCCCACACCAGCTACTGGAAAGTTTCTATATAGGAGTAAAATGAATTATTTTCCTTTCTCACCATATAGTTCTATAATCTATGCTCTTTAAATATTTTTATTAGGCATTATTGAGCTGGATTATGCTAAAATAAGTTATGATAATCAATTGCTCTTGAACTGACACTTGAAAAGTTATAAACTAGCTTTTATAACTAAAATTTTATAATTAAAATTTTGATTTCAGGATTTTTATCGATTCTTCAAATTATTCTTTAGCAGAGTTAAGTGGAATCTTGCATGTTTATACCTATAGAAATAAAGAAATTTAACATGCATTCAGACCTCCTTAGGAAGAACAAAGAGTAATCAAAAATTCTAGCCTTACTATACATCATGTATTTGATTTTTCTGGGACCAAGAACAAATCATATGCTTAAAAAATCTGTTTCCTCCCATGGGAGCAGGCAGTATTACACATGCCCAGGCGAAAATACATACATATTATTCTAAAGACAGATGGCAGCCTAAAATTTCTTACTGAAAACCCAGAAGTTAAAATTCTCCCTGTCTTGTCTTGAGCCATGTGATGGTAAATCAATGTAAGAACTTAGTTCTCCAGAACCCTCCTTCCCTCTCCTAACTAACCCTTCTTCCCTCTCCTAAGTCTCAGCATGTTTCAGCAATGAATGCATTATAACTGCCCTTCCTTCACTCATTATGTGAACTTAGAAGCAAATTACTTAATTCCTTCGTGTCTCCCTTTTCTCATTACTTCTCTTTTGTAAGTGTGATTCAGGTAAACTAGTAAGAACTTTATTCCATATTCCAATAATATGTGAATACTGATGAAAAAACGGTTATGAAGTAGTATTTACTCCAGTTGAGACTAACTTCTCATAAAAAAACCAAAGAGAATATTCAAAGCTTTAAAATTTAAGTTAAAAATATATTTTACTTTTCTCAACTGTGGTATGGAATTTACATACCACAGAAGAAATTCTTTAAAAAAACACCAAGAAATCATTGCCTGGCTGTAGTGGCTCAGTTGGTTGAGCGTCATCTAAGGAACCAAAAAGTCACTGGTTCAACTCCTGGCTAGGGCACATGCTCGATCCCCAGTAGGGGTGGGCAGGAGGCAGCCAATCAATGATTCTCTTTCATCAGTGATGTTTCTATCTCTCTTTCCCTTTCCCTTCCTATCTCTAAAATCAATAGAAACTTATTTAAAAAATAAAAACCAAGAAATCATTTTATATAGAATGATCTGACTATCAGAGCATTGGGGACTTGGAATGAGGTGAGACTCCCAAATTTAGAGCAATCAAACCATTCTATTCCAGAAGTTCCTCAGGACCCTGGTCATTCCAAAGAGGAACTGGGATGTGATCCGTTCTGAACAAGACAGGTTACTATACGCTGCCTCCTGTGCTGGCTGATGCGGACCAAGCACCGACCCAGGTGCAGACACCATGCCAGTGCCTCACACGCATCATCTGATGTGAGGGACACAGAGCCAGAAAGACAGGTATTATTTCCTCAGACAGATGAAGAAACTAAAACTCAGAGACAATAGATAGGTTTCTGTCTGACTCTGCCCTCTCTCAAAGTCTCATCGTATAAAAACAGGTAGAATATGATCCTAAAAAGACCCAGGACTGCAGAAGGCATGGTTAGGTCAAGGCTAGGGAATCCGTGCCTGTGAATAAAATATAAGAACCTAATTTGTTAGCATCATATAAAATTTTGCTCAACGTTTCTCCTAAATTCTAATTTTTACTCGTAAGTTTTTGCTCTTTAAGGAACCGTCAAGAGTAAATCTGCTAGTGCTGACATTTTTAAATCCTTTTAGTTTTCCAATTTCTAGAATTTCTTTGTAGGAGCTTGAGATAAGCAATTAAATCTGCATGTTCTACCATATACAACACTTCAGTCACAGTCACGTTAAATAGAATGAAAAGATGAAAATTCACCTGAATTTTTTACTAAATCTTTCTTTCTTTTTGTGTGTGCTTTATTAACCTCAACCTTAGATTCTTCCAAAAGTGACCTCACCTTCATACCAGCCTTACACTACATCCTCCAAGCATTCCTCCTTGCTCTAACAGACTTCAGAACACGGAATTTAAGAAAATGGAAGCCCTAGCCGGTTTGGCTCAGTGGACAGAGTGTCTGCCTGCAGATGAAGGGTCCCAGGTTTGATTCTGGTCAAGGGCACATGCCCAGCTGTGGGCTCGATCCCCAGCAGGGGGTGTGCAGGAGGCAGCCGATCAATGATTCTCTCTCATCATTGATGTTTCTATCTCTCTCTCCCTCTCCCTTCCTCTCCGAAATCAATAAAAATATATTAAAAAAGAAAAAGATGTAAGAACAACAACACAAACTTTGGACACTCCTTTTACCTTTCTCAATGGTGATTATTTCCATTCACACAGAATTTATTTTCTTTCAAAGCTTTCTTGTTTGTAATTTTAAGGAAACCAATAGCAGAAAAAAAAAATCACAGGAAATATAAAAAAGCAGAAGAAACCCATTTTCTCCCCCCGCCCCCGCAAACACAACAGGCTATAGCCTAGACTGTACCTTAGATGGAAAGCCAGTTGAACCAGAGCATGCTTTTTTCTTTAAGGTTGGTGTGTGAACAGGAAGTGGAGAACTGTCTACAGTCTGAATCCAGGGGCAAAAAGGAAATAAATGTTAAAAGAAACTCCATCCATTTCTAGCATTACTAGAAATAAATAAAAGTAAATAAAGCCAAGGAAAACATCAATAAGGCAAAATAGATCTCAATGAAGCTAAAATTCTCATAATGTTGATAATTTAAATTTCTGTCTGCAATATCTACAAGTGAAATATTAGTAAAATTATTTCAGTTTGGAAATATAAAGAATTTGGAAAAGAGAATCCACCAAAGAACACAAAAAATGGCATAGCATGTAGCCGACATAAAAATGAGGATATTCATTTTCACGTTCACCTAAAAATGCCACATTAATTCTAAAAAGCATCTGAGTTTTTAGCAAAATTTATGATCAAAATACTTAGAAGATTCTTTTAACTCCTTGACTTCTATATTTGGAATGCATATTACATATATGAAATACAATTCTGTGGATTTTTAATATATTAGAGAGAGAGAGAGGGAGAGAGATTGAATGATTAGTGGAATTTCTGTGCAGAAATTACTTTCCAAAGAAGGTAGTTAGATTATTACTATTGGGATCCAGAATTTACACATAAATTTAGTTACAAGTCATATCTTTATTTTATGGGGACTTGTTGTAAGATTTTCCCTGAATAAAAGGAAACAGTGATTTTACTGGATGTTACTGTGGAAAAAAAAAGAGATATCACTTGATTAGCAAAGTGTAAAAAAAGACGTGACAAATGACTTCCTATTAGGATGCTAAGCAAGCAAACGAGAGGGAACAGCTAGCTTTATCTAAAGGTATAGAACATTCTAAAATATTAAGAGAAAAATGGATGGGCTCTCGTTGGCTTTTGTTAGTATACAACCTCCAAAATCAGAATATTTTGAATATATTAAAGCCTTAAAATGGAATTCAGTTAAGTTTCTCAGAGTTTTCTACTTCATTGTGAATTTAACTCTAACTTACATTTAAATAACTTGAAAAAGTTCTTAATCCAATTTATAATTTAACATTTAAAAAGACAAATATGAAAAAGATCACTGAAGACCTTTATAAAAGTTAATAAAAATAATTCATACGAAATAAAATTGTCATTAGAATTTACATAAAAAGTCCAAGAGAAGTTTTTAGAATTAAAAGGAGTGAAGCGAGGGTGCTGGATACAAGAACAACAGAATTCATAAAGACCAGCAATGCCTAATTAATAAAACATATTTTAGAAAAGATCCCATTCACTAGGGCAACAAAGGCTTGAAGGTTCCTAGCAAGAAACCTCGCAGGCAATATGGAGGATACCCGTGAAATGTAACTTACTGAAGAAAATACAAGAGTACCTAAATATGTATACCATGTTCATAGATGGAAAGACCCAATATCTCGAACATGGCAATTCTCCTCAGATAAATCTGCAATTCAAATTCAATTAAAAGCCCCACCTGGCATCTGACCAACTGATCCTAAATGTCATATGTAAAACTAAAGAGTCACAAAGTAAAGGAAGAAGACTAAGAGGTGGGAGTGGGGGTGGGATCCCATGCCAGGTATCAGGAACTATTTCAGGGCTATAGTAATTAAGACAATGAACTGCTGGTGCAGAAAAAGACAAAACAAGCAATGGAAGAGAATAAAGAACCCTCAAACAGACCCATTCATGTAAAGCAGAGACAGTTTTAAAAGTCAATGGGGGAAATATAGGACAGTTGGTTGTTCATATGAGAAAAATAGATTAGAATTTCATTTCCTATACTATGCAATAATAAATTTCAGTTTGATTAAAGTCCTAAACATTTTAAGAATTTTTTTTAGCTTTTAGAAGAAAATATGGAGGAAACTTTTTATAATTGCTGTGAAGGGAAGACATGTTTTAAAAAGACAAAAAGCAGAATTCATAGAGAAAAAGATTGATAAATATGGCTATTTTAAAATAAAAATTGTTGTAAGACAAAAAAATACCACAAATAACATTTAAAAATAAGCCACAGACTAGTAGAAAATATCTGCAATGCATATAGCCAGCTAAAGATTAATATCCAGAATATATACAGAATACTTACAAAATAATAGAAAAATAATTCAACAGAACAATGGACAAAAGACATGAACAGGCAAATCACCAACGACCAATAAACTATATGAAAAGATGCTCAATAACCCTTGAAATCAGAAAATGCAAATTAAAACAAAAATGCCACTCCATATACAACGAATTGGCGAAAGGTAACCAGTTAACTGGCACACGTCCCAAATGGAAACCATCTCCACAGGGTCTACAGACACGTACGGCGTACAAGGGGTTAATGCCTCATAGCACCAAGGCTTGGAGAGGGTGTGGGAAAGGGGAGCACACACCCTGCTGGTGGGAGTGGGAACAGGTCGGACCACTGGGCAAGACCTAGTCCAAGTTGAAAACGCATGTAGCACACAACCCAGCAATTCCACTTGCAGGCTCATATGCTAACCAAACTGCACAGATCGCTATTAGGAGGTTCAGTTCAGCTCTGCTTGTAGTAACAAAAAACTGGAAACAACCTACATATCCAACAACAGGAGAACAGTTGCAGTGTATTCATACAGTAAAATATTATGCAGTAATTATAATGTCTGAACTAAATGGACGTGTATCTGTATGAGTAAACCTCAAAAGCATGAGAAAAGTTACATGTGACACCAAGGAAGAGAGGATGCAGCTCAATGTCAGGGTATTTAGACATGTCTGGGAGAAGAATGGGGGATGGGAGAGGGAAGGGTGTCTCAACTCAGTTATCTATTTTCTTTCTTTGAATACAAATTTGAAAAAAATATGACAAAATGATCACATCTGTTAAATCTGTGGATGGTGGTTACATGAGTGTTTATTATTATTCTTTATGTGATGGAAATATTTCAACATTAAAATAAAAATGTATAAAGTTAAAATATTTTAAAAATAAGCAAGCAAGCAGAGGGTCTCACCACCCAGCCTGAGACAGGCTATCCCAGGGCTGGACAAAAACCTAGTCAGAACCTGAGTACAGCCCACGCTTGGCCTCAGCCAGCCTGCTCCTGGGTCCTCACACCCTGGAGACAGAGCGGGAAGCAGGGGAGCTCGCCAGCACCAGGGTGCTGAGCAGAGCCAGGGCTGCATCTGGAGCAGGGTGGGGTCAACGGAGGCACACCCCCCCGACTTGATGAGAAAACGATCTTGAGAAAATTGGCCAATCGGCTGTTTAACACCAGCGATCGACATGAAGTGCAAATACAAGGGTTTCTGTACTAGGAAAAGGCAGGGTCACCTGCATGTCCGTTACTAACCCAGCAGCTGGAATAAACTGTGGCAATTCTCACGCTGGGCTCTGCTCACGAAGTCCTGCTGCGTTAGACGGATAAAGAGGCAGAATGGCACCTGACCCTGCCAGGAGCTGCAGTTTGTAGATGACAATTCCAAATGTACATAACTCTGCTGTACACTGTTCTTCACTAAAATAAAGACTATCTTTGTGATTAAACAAATTTTCTGGCTACTTCAAGCTGACTTCTGGGGGACAATTTGCTACTTCAGCTTTATACTCCTATCTGCATGTCCAGTCAAATGTCATGATCTCCCACGTGACTTATTACACAGTGCGTCTGACTGAAAGAAGAGAGCCCGATTTCACTTGCTTTTGCAACTCCCTCTTTTCTGACACAGTGACAAGCTGGGAGCAGCACTGCTCCGATGAGGCACCTGAACTGGCGCAGCTTCACTAGCGGTGGAAGGAGATGTGGACCTTGACTGGGTGTCAGTCTTGACGTTCGGATTCCGTACATGTGTGCTCTCAACGGGATCAGCCTAGGAAAGTAAGTCAGGAAAAACAAAAACCCAAGAATCACGTTCAACAATGTGCAGCTCGTAGCGTTCCTGAAGGCACGGTCATAACCTTCTTGAGAAGGAGGGTAACAAACTTCAGTGTGAATATTCTCAATAGGGATGTGTCATTATACAAAGCGTAATGAAAACCAAGGCTAAGATAACAATATTAGCAAAATACTCTAATTCCCACTGTTGATCACTGATCTTTACTGTATGTTCTTTACTTATATTCCACATGACACTGTTGTATGTTACAAAATAAATCATGCATGTGAAATAAATGCAGGGTCTTTAGTAGGGATACGCACAGCAGACGAGAGAGAACTGTCCTAGGTAAGAGTGGAATCTGGTCCCCTGCCAGGCATTAGTTGAAAGCAAAAGAAACTGACCTATTAGCTTTGTGCTTATTGCCTTTTATTTGCAGCAGTAGAAACACCAGCACTTATATTCAGCTGCACACTTTTAACTCAGTAGTTTTAGAAAGTGAAAATGCTTTGGGTTAAAATTTAGCATGAGAGATCTTACTAAGCACAATGATTAATGATATACTCAGTTTGGCAATTTTCAAAATTACTCGGGCTGGGTTTTTTAAATGAAAGGAATGGAGGTAATTTGGAAAGAAGGTTAAGAAGTTTTTCTTAAATCACTTGTACAGCAAGAACCATCAGCAGCTACAGTGAAAAGAGCATCAGCATAGGCATTTTAAATATGTACTTACAATGTTTTCTTTTTCTTTCTTATTATCATGGTTACTACTTTAGGGGCTGACTAGTAGCTGGCAAACACGGCGGCAGCCCTCTGCTGGTGCCCACCTAGGGCCTCCCATGGTGTGGGCATGACTTTGGTGGGCTGGTGAACAAGGCCACCACCCAGGCCTTACACCATCATTAGAGTTGGGAGAAGGGGGAGGAAGAAGGGTCCCGGGAGGACAGCTGCGGGCATGGAGCAGCAGCTATTCACGACAGCAGCTAGGGACCTCTTTCAAGACGGGAGGTCCTGAGCTGCAGCCCACCAGCTGTTGTGTGTAGTGCGGCCAACTCCACACCACGCACTGTCTCCCGCAGTGGGACAGCCATTGCCTCCCGCAGTGGGAGCGCCAGCCTGAATCCCTTCGACTCCAAATGCCTCGCCATGGGCAGGCAGGTTGAGCGATCTTATCTCCTTCCTGACAATGAACTCGACCAGGAATGAGAATAAAAGAAAGAACAAAATGGGGCTCATTTACTCAGGAATAGTCATGGAGAAGGTCATCAGTTAAATTATTCATCTGAAATATGATCCTAATTTGGGAATAAGGCAAAAACAAATGGCTTTTACTTTCTAAAAATTTCTTCTTTCTAGTTTCTGTAATATTATATAAATTGTAAGATCAGTAAGAGTCCATGGGAGAAGGAGGTTAAATTAAATGGAATTGATAAGCAAACTAGTGCGGGTACATTTTACACTAGTAAGAACTTAAAACAGACTTACATAACTATCTCAAAGTTTTAAGGAAGTACGCAAGTAAGAGATTTGTTATGTGCAAAAGCTTGGGCCATCTTAAGAAAATTTAAGTTTCTGACCAGCCACACAAAAGAGTTTAGCGCCCATGGCTTGACTGAAAGATATAAAAACCAGATGTGTTCCTGTGCGAAGGAAATGCTGTTAACAGGACTGAATAGCTAACACAGTGGCTCTGTGCCTCTGGGCCCAATTACTTTAAAAACTTCAAAAATGAGAAAGGCAAGAGCTTGCTGCTCCCAGGAACCCTGGCTGACATGTGAAGGAGGCCTGCACTCGGAGCCCGCTGAGCACAAGGGGAGAAGGGAGCGCAGGTTTCACGGACATTCTTCTGCTGAGATCAGAACGAATGCCGCAGACCTTTATGGCAGGTGCTCTAAAGGGAGGTGCCGGGAGCCGGTCCATCCTTGCTGTTTCAAAGGACCTGGCATATATGGCATACTGTTCTTAATATTTTTTCTCACCTTGGCACTATGTGTTTTAACCAAGGTCTCCTCTCTGAGAAAGGTTGTTTCCCCAGGTAGGGATTTTCCCCTGAAGTTAGGGAGCGAATAAAACCCCTTAACTAAGTGCCAGGCGGGTAATTAATCACTTTAACCACGAACAATCATGCTTAAGCTACATAATCTTTACTCCCTGGAATGCAGATAAGAAACGCCCTAACCTTTGAAATAGAGATTGATACGATTGGAATCAACTGGTATAAATACAGATGTAAGAAGACAGAACGAAGAGAGACAGAACCTAGGCACAGAACCTACAAAGAACGTTTTCTAGAAACAGAAGAACTTCGCTGGAGAGAACATGGCAAAAGATCCTGGACAGAAACTGGCCTCAGAACCTAGCGAGAGAACATGGCAAAAGATCCTGGACTGAACCTGACTACAGAAATTGGCAAGAGAACCTGACTAGAACCTGGTGACTGAACCTGGCTGGAGAACCTAGCGAGGGAACATGGCTACAGAACCTGGCTGGAGAACCTAGCAAGAGAACATGGACACAGAACCTGGCTGGAGATCCTGGCTAGAGATCCTGGCTAGGCTGCTGATCAACTGAACACTGTCTCCGTGTCCTTCCTTCTTCGCTGACTCCGTCTACGCCTTTGGGAACCCCTGGACCTGCTGGGGTTGGACCCCGGCTTCTGGCGCCCGAACAGGGACCCCTAGGTAAGCCCCACTCTCGGGACAGATAGGACTCCACCGTAGGAAGATGGTGGATAGTCTTCGCCGACTCCGTCCACACCTTTGGGAACCCTTGGAACAGGATTCCCATAGGTAAGCCCCCCCCCCCCCCCCATTGAAAACTCCCACACTCGGGACGGATAGGACTCCACCAGGGTGCTACAGACCCCCCTATAGAGGATAAATAGGGTAAGAAGGTGGATAGTACAGAACTTAGATTGAGAAGATGTGCCATAAGAGTCCAAAGAAAGAAGAATCTGTATTGATCTTTACATTAAGAAGACGTGCCATACTGAGTCTAAAGAAAAAAGACTCTGTATTGATCTTTTAACACATATGCTTGCCAGCAGAGGAATTAAGGTTACTCCCAGTCAGACAGAACGTTTTATACAAGAAGTATGTCCATGCTTTTCTGAGGAAGGAAAGGTAGATGTAAAGGCATGGGAGAAGGTAGGCCCAAGGAGCCTTATCCTTAACCCCACTGCAGCCTTTCCACCCCGGGAAAGTGCAGGATTGGCAAGCTCTCCCTGGGGTGATAGATCAGGCCTCAGGTAATAGCGGAAAGTGCCAATCCTACTCTTAAAATGGATACAAGAGAGCATTTGGGGTTTTTCTTTTTAATGCCTGCTTTTAAAAAATAAAAAAGGGGGAATTTGCCGGGAGCCGGTCCATGCTTGCTGTTTCAAGGGACCTGGCATATATGGCATACTGTTCTTAATATGTTTGCTCACCTTCTTGGCATTATGTGTTTTAACCAAGCTCTCTGAGAAAGGTTGTTTCCCCAGGTAGGGATTTTACCCTGAAGTTAGGGAGGGAATAAAACCCCTCAACTAAGTGCCAGGTGCGTAATTAATCACTTTAACTATGAACAATCATGCTTAAGCTACATAATCTTTACTCCCTGGAATGGAGATAAGAAACGCCCTAACCTTTGTAATAGAGATTGATAGGATTGGAATCAACTGGTATAAATACAGATGTAACAAGACAGCAAGACACAGAACTTAGAACACAGAACTTAGAAGAGAGAACGAAGAGAGACAGAACCTAGGCACAGAACCTACACAGAACGTTCTCTAGAGACAGAAGAACTTCGCTGGAGAGAACATGGCAAAAGATCCTGGACAGAACCTGGCTGGAGAACCTAGAGACAGAACCTGGCTACAAAACCTGGATAGAACATGGCAAGAGAACCTGACTAGAACCTGGTGACTGAACCTGGCTGGAGAACCTGGACAGAACCTGACTGGAGAACCTAGTGAGGGAACATGGCTACAGAACCTGGCTGGAGAACCTGGATGGAGAACCTAGCAAGAGAATATGGACACAGAACCTGGCTGGAGATCCTGACCAGAACTTGGCTAGAGATCCTGGGTAGGCTGCTGATCAACTGAACGCTGTATCCATGTCATTCCTTCTTCGCCAACTCCGTCCACACCTTTGGGGACCCCTGGACCTGCTGGGGTTGGACCCCGGCAGGGAGGTTTACTTCACAGAAATCACCTGCTAGAATCAGCTGTCACCCTGCCCATGGCTGGTTGTGAAGGCAGCATGTTTCATGGCCCTATGAAATGTGACATTATGACAGTGTGATCCTGGGCAAAGGGAAAATACACCAACAGAGTGTAATCCATAGTTACACACGTTAGTGACTCTCCACTAACTCTTGAGGCTTTTAGCACACATCTCTTGGCCCCTCTGAAGAATTATTGTCATTTATGAAAGTCTTTTTCTCCTAACAAATTTTTACTCATCAATGAAAATAAAACAGTAAAAATGAGAATATATTTTTAAATGAATTTCTTAGCTGTATGAGGTAAAAACTGGTTACTCAGAAGTGAGAAAACATTTAGATTTGAAAAAAATAACCAATACCACATTGTAATAAAATAGAGCAGCGATTTTCACCTGGTGTGCCGCAAGACCTTTCAAAACATCTGATCCCCGACTTTTTAGTCACGGGCACTGACCCCTTTCCCTTAGATTGCCAGATTTAAAAAAAAATGACAACAGTCAAATAATAGTCGACCAATTTGAATAAACCAAAATTCAACCTATTTTTTTTGTCAGATTGGCAAAAAGTGTAATACATTTGTATTAGTAATTAGTTTACTTGTGCCATGAGATGAAAAAGGTTGAAAATCACTAAAATAGAATAATAGAAATTACCATATTAGCTTTATTGAGCAGTGTGCTCTTAAAGTAAAAATAAATTCCAGAGATTAAACAAAATTAAGTTACTTTTGTATATAAAAAAATTCAAAACAAATAAAAACATTGCAATAATATTTTGAGATA